CTTTCGAGATTAACTCCAACTTGTTTGTCATATTCTAGGTATTATTGTAATGGATATGAGGCGTCGGTGGAGTTGTTTATTGTGACAGGCGGGTGGTGGGGGGGAAGTGATTACCTCTTTCTCTCAGCCTCCACAGCAGATGTTTGGGAGATTATTTACAGATTATTGCCAGCTGCCATTGGGATTGGGGGGCGTTTTTACGTCACTGATGGACAAAAGTGTGGTAAACAAACTAAACTGACTTGCTGAAGCAGCGTCTATGTCTGAGTGAGGATAAATACTGCAGCTCTGTGATAGTGTTGTTTTTTTATTTGCTGGGACTGTGTGGATTTTAAAGACCTACATTTTGAGCAATCAGTAGAGCTACTTTGTTACTTGAGAATCAGTACTTTACAGTAATTCTACTTTGGCCAAATTAAACAACTCCAATACATTCTGAGAGACAGCTTTACTTTCGTTCTTTTTCTTTTTTTAATCTTCTGCATTTCTCAAACACATTTGGTTGTTCTGTTATTTAGATAAAAGCAAAGCCAATAAATACTCTCAAATGCAGCTCATTTATTCCAGCCTGAAGTATTTTTAAACACAGATAATTAAAGACGCTGCTGAGGCTATGGACCACAGACATGGAATTGTAATATTTTTACCTAAAATCAGTTAAAAACTAAGGAGCTGTTCTAAATCACAGTCCTTTTACTGCTTTATATCATGTACCTATACAGTTCTATCCCAAAGTTTTGGCACCCCCTGTCAAATGACATGTTGATTTTCTGAGTGTAAATTACTGAACACATCTTCTGCAAAGAACCCACTTTAATACTGCACATTTTAATACACAATCACTTTAATACACAGTTTTTTATTGAATTTAAATACTGAAAAAAATAAACCATAAAATATGGCCTGGACAAAAGCACATTTTATTTATTTTATGGTTTATTTTTTCCAATATATTAAACTAAGCAAATAGATTAAAATTGTGCAGTAAAGTTTGCTGAGTTCTCTGTAGAGGATATGTTCACTTACTTTGACCTAGAAAAAACTATCATTTGTTCGAACTTTTGTCTCCATATGTAAATTTCTCTGACTGTCTCAAACAAAAATAGTTTGTGGATTATATTTTTAAAGATTTTGACAACTGTTCAAATTGTTTTAACATATGGTGCTTAAAAATGATTTAACTTTGTTAAATAGTAATCCCTTTAAAACAGGCCAGTATTTGTAAGGCTACATAACACCTACCTAAGCCTTTCATGACATCTGACAAAAACCTATGTTGACATTTATAAAGGCTTATTTCAACTAGCGTCTGTTATCGTAAAAGCTGCTTTTGTCTTTATTGATGTCATTTCATCTCAGCAATTGTTTTGAGAGTTTTAAAACAATTTTTTAGACCTTGGGATGCAGCCTCTCTTTCTGCTCGAAAATGCAGTGGTGTGGCTAAAATAAGGCTCCGCCTTTTTGTGTTTCGGTAGTGACATGACAACATGGGACAGCATTTTTTGAATACAGTTTTTTTAAATTATAATAATAAATCTACATTTTTTAACCTTATTTTAAAAGAAATAAAAATGATCTTACAAAAACATTTAAAAGGTATTAAGTGTCAATTTAGGGGTTAGGGTTTGGGACAGACACCCAACAGAAAATACCCTATATATGATAATTTTGTATATATATAGTATATTAATGCCTTATGTTTAAATAGATTATAACTATGGTCTAAATACATCATTGTTTTGAAATAGTTTTTTTTTCTGTGGGACTGCAGTTTGAACTAGTTGTGTAGAATGGTCTGTGTAGATTTTTGTCAGTTGTCATGAAGGGCTTATGTAGGTGTCATATAGCCTTATGATCACTGCCTTTCAGTAAAGTGTAACCAAACAAAGTAGATTTTAGAGAAGACACTTTTAGAGGATATTTTGTATGCCTGCTTTGAGTATTCAGTATTCAGATTATTTGACTCTAAGCCCAAAACAGAGATATCTGGCTCCAGTGGGGTTTAAAGCTGAAGAGCATTACTGAAAGCCATCAAAGTTTGCAGTCCCAAGTTGTGTGATATGGCTCATGTGTGAGTCAGCGTTTAGTCTCCTGCTGAGAGCAGAGGCAGCGCTGCCTTCCCCACAAGTCTGATCCCTCTCAGCAAATCACTGAGCATGCTCAGAGGGATCGCTGATGCTGTTGCTATAGGACTATGCAGGGCTCAGAACCGCTGTACCAGGAAAGAGAGAGAGAGAAGGAGACGGAGAGGGAGAGGGAGAGGGAGAGAGACAGTGGGTGGAAGAAAGCTTGACTGGAGAGAGACAGACATAAACAGTCAGTGGGAGAGTGAAAAAGCAAAGGAAGTATGACTGAAACTAAGCCAAGAAAATGACCTTACGCTTACCTTCTGACCTCTCTCTTTGTTTTCATGGCTTTTGTCTGGTAAGTGTACATTTCGGTGTGATGTGAATGTGGCTGCTCATATTATTGTGCATGTGAGTGAAGGATACGGGGCAGTAAGGGTGCGTTTGCCCCACTTACTGCACAGACCGAGTCAGAGTGGATGTGCGTTGTTGGCTCCCGGCTTGAGGATACAGTGTTACGGCTGACTGAGTTTTGATGCAGTAGCCCATTTCAGTGGTCTGACCTTAGGGTCGTTTTTTACAGTAACCTTAGCATTTGATTTTTATTCATGTTTTGACTTATAGAGCAGAGATGATAAGTGAAGAAATTCCACCAATTTTTCAAAATTTCTGCAGAATTTAGTGGATGGGATTTTGGGAGTTGTGAAATGGTTCACTGTAGAGAAACTTAATGAATCTCATTTCTTTGCAGTGGTGGTGATAGGAACCAGGGGTCACCATGTCTACAACACAAATATATATAGCCATTTTATTTACTATCCAAAACCACCAGTGAACCTACACGTGTATTCTGAGCTTTTTATATGGAATGTTGAAAATGGTAAAATAGTGATGAATCTGAATAAAAATACACACTTAAAAATGATGGTTCTTCAAGGGTTCTTTAGTAAAGAAAATGGTTCTATATAGAACCTGAACACTCAAAGAACCCTTTGCATGATTAAAGGATTCTTTGCATTGTGAAAGGGTTCTTCAGATTGATGGTGTAGATGGTTCTATATAGCAACAAAAAGGGTTCTTCTATTGTAATAAGCCTGACATTATAGCCCTTCTTGGTGCTATATAGAACACTTTTCAAAAAGGTTCTATACAGAACCATCTACAGCACACTCTCCATCAATCTGAAGAATCATGCAAAGGGTTCTTTGAGTGTTCAGGTTCTATACAGAACCATTTTCTTTACTAAAGAACCCTTGAAGAACCATCATTTTTAAATGTGTTGGTTTTCTTTTTCGGCACTATTACCTTGCATCTGTCTCTCTGTTCTGCATGTGTTTCAAAACTATCATAAAACATTGTCTCAGTCATCAGGCAGTGCATTCATAACCATTTCACATAATAACTTTCTGTGAGGGAGCTTCTAGAGGTGGATGCCTGGTTCCTATCACCACCATTGTGAACAAATCAGACTAAATCTGTAAGGTTCTCTAGAACAGAATATTTCACATAGAAACATCTCTGAATGGCTTTACATCTTAACCATTTAATGAATCAGTTTGATTGTGCAAATTTCCCTTTAAAACAGGTGATATTCACAAAGAAGTGACTTTACTAGACCAGGGTTTTTTGAACATCTGAAAGGAGCAAATCTGTTCCTGAATCTGCTGTTCTGTGTTGAAATACTTCGTGAATGCAAGCCTAAATGTTTGTAAAGGACTCAAATTGTTTACGAATTATTTTCTTTTATTTAAAGGGGTTTCCTGGATTGTGAAGTTTGGAAATTAATCTAAAAACTAAAAGTTACTTGAATGAGTTAATACAAGTGACTAGGAGTGTAACAACACAGCATATTGTGGTGTATTGTTCAGTACGAGCTTCTTAATTCAAAATGCACAGGCATCAAACAATACATTTGACAGTATTGCCTGTAGAGGGCAGCAATGAGTAATGTTTGTTTATTTGATGTTTGTTATTAACGCCATTAGAAGGTGGCATTGAGTAATGTTTGTTTATTTGATGTTTGTTATTAACGCCATTAGAAGGTGGCAGTAAGTAATGTTTGCTTATTTGATGTTTGGTAATAACGCCTTTAGAGGGCAGCAGTGAGTAATGTTTGTTTATTTGATGTTTGTTATTAACGCCATTAGAAGGTGGCAGTGAGTAATGTTTGCTTATTTTGATGTTTGGTAATAACGCCTTTAGAGGGCAGCAGTGAGTAATGTTTGTTTATTTGGTGTTTGTTATTAATGCCTGTAGAGTGTGGCGGTGAGTAACATTTGTTTATTTATTGCTTGTTTATAATACCTTTAGAGGGCAGCAGTGAGTAATGTTTGTTTATTTAAGTTTAAGCTGTATCTGTTGTCATTTGGGAGCTTCTTATGCTGCATTTGACTACAGCTCATAACCCGGAATTTCTGGCCTCCAACTAGGAAAAAACCTCACCAGGGAATGCCAAAAATTTGGTAGGGTGTCCTCAACCCTGAGTGCACCATTTGACGTCATGTGAACATGGCAGCTCACATCGTCACCAATACAAAGCGCAATTTTTCTACCAACACCAAAGTGCAATTTCTCTACCTTGCAATTATTTATAATGCAATACACGTCAGTCAAAATTTAATGAACGTGACAGGCCTACCCAAAATTGAGACCAGGGAGGAAAGCACACTCCATATGTGTATATTAGCTCTGAGCTAATATATTAGCTTGTGGCTTGCACATTATTATAAAAAATTGTGCTTTTATAATATAGAATACTCTAGGAAACTGAAAATGGAAATGTTTGCTTTTTAACATAAGACAGATTTTTAGGCACTCGTAATTGTTGCTGTATTGAAAAATGTGTCATATTAAGACACCACTGTATCTACAGGTGACATATTAAACATTCCTTTCCTTTCTCAGGTTTTCCTTTTGAATGACGGGCTTGGAGCATGATGTTGCAGGAGTCACTGCTGAGACATTTGTCCTGCTGAAACTGTTCCTTTGATGAATAGATGTTCCTAAAATGGCTGCTTCTGCTAAGCTGTCGGGTGAGACCTTGATCGTAAGGCACATCCCCCTGGCTCATGGTCAGTCTGTGGGTTGCCAGCTTTACAGCTCGGCAACGAGACCCACAAGGCCTTGTTCTTTAAAACTGACCCACAGTATTTCACTGCCTGAGAGAGAAGAACCCCCAAAGGAAGCACTGGACTGTGATTTCCAAAGCTACAGTAGCAAGTCCAGTTCCAATGATGAGGCAGTTAGCACAGATCATGGTGCTGAAAAGACCAGACGATACAATTCCTCTCCAAACGTCCAATTGAGCCCTTCTCAAAGAAAGTTGGAATTCACAGGCTGCAGAAGCACCTCACGGTGGCAAAACCCTTTCCTCCCTGATTTAGAGGTGCATGAGGATGAGGAGGAAGATGATGACTCAGATGGTGACAACCTGCATAAGTACCGTGAGGGCTCCTCCTTTCAGCTGCATGGAAACTCAAATGGGACCCAGGACGAAGCCTTGGGGTACACCACAGAGATCTGGCTCCCATGTAGCAACCGTGTATGGTCAATAGCCCTATTTGCAGCCACAAGCTTAAGATGTTGCACCAAGATATGAATCCCTTTGGGACCTGCCAAGAACACAAACAAATTAGGAGCCTATCAGACTCAGGTCTTCAACATCGCAGGGACAGCAAAGGCACACCGATATTAATGGACTGTGAGGAACAAGAGTGGGGGGATGAAGAGGACTATGAAGCATACATTCTTAAGGAAAGAGCTTATGAAAAACATGAGGGTTATAACTATATTCAGTCTAAAACATCAGATTCTGAATCTTCTCAAAAACAGGTAGAGTATGTAAGTGATTCTTCTTGCAACAGCTCTGATGGGGTGCTAGTTAACTTCAGTGCCATTTACAACAAAGCCAACAATGCAGTGCCTGCTACACCACATGGTCTGGACAGTCCTGCCAAAGATTCCCATGGATCTGGATCTATGTCCCAGGATGATGACTTTAAGCCTGTTCCCTGCTGGTCGCCTTGTCGAGTTGATCCAAATTGTAACATCTACCTGTTGGACTCTGATGGTCTGGCATCTGTTGAGATTTCTGATCTCACTGTTTGCCTACAAAGTCAAGCCCGGCTAATGGCTTCTACCCAGAATTATTACAAACTGGTGACTTGTGACCTTTCATCGCAATCCTCCCTGAGTCCAGCATGGTCATCAGTGACCAGTTGCTCTGAGGCTCACAGCCAGGGAAGCTTGACCCCTCCAACCGAATACTTCCTCTTCAGACAGCCACAAGAAGAGGAAGGGGATGTTCTCAAAGTTGACCAAAGTGACCTCCAGGTACAACATCCATTATATTGCATCTGGAAATTAAACAAATGAAGGTAGTATTTGACTTTTGCACAGTACTGTAAATAATTGAACTGTATTTCTTTAACATCTTGATATGTCCATTAGTTGAATCATTTGCATGTTCTAAGTGTTACATTCATGTACTTTTCTTCAGTTTAGCCCAGTCTCTTCATATATATTTTTTATCCCAAGGCTGATGAAGATATTGAACTGAAAAGAAGCAAAAGAACCATCAGGGACTCCTCAAAGGGAACAAGAGAACGAAAGGCACACAGCACAGCACACCCCAAGTCTAGAGATCCAGAACCCAGTAACCATGAATACAGAAGTGCTCAGAGCTGGGATGGGAGACGGGGGTACAGTTGCTCACCAAAACTGGAAGCGCTGCCACGTGTGCCAAGCTGTCCAAGCCAGATAAACTCAGACCTGTCCTCACGTGTGCCGAAGCAACATATCACCTCATTTGCAGAGCTTGCCCGCTGCAAGAAGGGTGGTGGGGATTCATCATCAATGGACAACAGCATGGAAGCTCCTACCTGCTCCAAGTTCACCCTGAACACTTCCCCCATTCAGAAGAAAACTCCACTAGGGCAAAATATAACTTTAATCACAAACCAGAGCACCAAGATACCTGATAGCTCTGAAATCTGTGAGACTCCATCTAAATTAGAAGGTAAGCAAACCAGTGCTACATTGCACCTAATTAAAGTTTATTAGATGTTTTCCAGTAAATGGCTCTTTTCCCTGAAGTATCTTTACTAAAAGGCCCATTTCATGGAAAACTGAACTGTCCTCACCTTTTTTAAATAAATGAGATAAAATTCATTATATACATATTGTTAAAGTTTCAGATCACACTATTCACACCTCATATAGAAATCAAGCTGCAAAACAAAACAATTCAGTTTTGTTATGTCACACATTAACATATTTCTGCCTACAGCAGCTTAGCTCCACTTATTCACGCTGAACTTAAAAGATGCATTTTAGCGTGGACTGAATTCATTTTTTGAATGAGGCACATTACAGGGTAGAGGTCATATATCAGTCTTAAAGGCACAGTGACAAAAACAGGCTAAGGGATAAGTCTAAGGCAGTGATCGGCAACATGCGGCTCCAGAGCTGCATGTGGCTCTTCTACTGCCCCGTTTGGGCTCCACAGCAGATTTACATTTTTTTGATAAAAATAAAATAGTCATCTATTGCAGTAAAATAAAGCTCTGCTGATCATTCTAACACAGTTTTAGGAATAAATGGTCTTAAACGCTGGAGTGAATGTAATCTATAACTACTTATTCACCAGCTTTTGACCCTGAAGGTTGGCATGTATAATGCTGGTCAGATAGAAATGCAGCAACACACATAACAGTCAAAAGGGCAAAGAGAAAAATTTAAGACGAACATCGATAATTTGGAGACAAATGGACTTATTTGCATTTGTATTCACTCCACCTGGTTTTCTGTTATGTTTACTCTGCAACAAGAAACTGTCAAACACTAAAAAGTCCCGAAGCTGAAGTTGGTTTCTCATTCGAATTTTCCCGTTCCACCTTAAATGGTGCAGCAGTTACATTCTGGCACCTCAGGCACCATTTAAGGTGGAACAGGACAATTAGAACAAGAATCTGGTGAATGAGAAGCGACTTCAGCCTAGTAAAAAAATTAAACATTGAGAGACATTTTACAAGAAACTGTTCTACATTTGTGGAAAAGTTTCCTGCCAAAGATGCGAGAAAAGTTGCTATAGCTGAGCTAAAGCTTAAAGCAGAGCAAAGTAAGTCTGGGTTTTTGTTTATTTTTTTTTATCCTATACTAGGATTACTTTGGCCAAGATGGACATAAAAATAAAATGGGCATAAGATGTGACTCTTAAGGTGGTTACATTTTTGTTGAAAGGAATGGCTCTTCTTAACATTTGGGTTACTGAACCCTGGTCTAAGGGATAAAGAGAGGTTGGAAAAATGGATCGTGACTGTTTTGGGTGCATAAAACCACATGAAAGTGACCTCTTGGTTAAATGTAAACACAAGAAAAATATAGGATATGGGCCCTTTCATGTAATGAATGCTTTAACTGAACAAATATGCCAATATGGCTATCAGTAAAAGAAGCTTATTTTGAACTAGTAGCTTGCAATCATAATTAATCTGCCATTTTGTGGGTGACATTTTCACTAAACAGATCACAATAAATAGGCCAGAGTTTAAACAGGTGTTAGGTGGTTGCTATTGTATTCCAGATGGTTGCCTGGAAAACTAGAAAAAATTCAAATCGCTGTGTGACAACCCTACGATCAGTCCAAAAAGCAAAAGCACACTATACTCTCATGTATACACTCTACAACTGTGCAAAGTTTGTTGGCTGTAGCTTGAAAACTGTAGAAGAAGCAGTAATGACAAAGAGTAGAATATATTAAATAATAAATTTAATAATTTAATAAAATTAGAGTAGAATAATAATAGAAAGACAACAAAAACTGTAAGTAGACAGTTAAATAAACTGTGAATTAATGTGCTTCTCTCTCATTGTTGCCTCTATAGGAGCTTGTGCCTCGTCCCCAGAAGTGGTGCGCTACACTAAAGCTCAGAGGCCCACTTTTCTTCCCATCCAGCCCTTTGTCCTTCAACCACCATCAGAAAAGCAGCACAGTAAAGGCCTGGGCTCCCTGCTAAACCAGTACATTAGCCACAGACACTGCAAGCCGAGCACATCCAAAAGCATAGGAAAATGCAAAGGGCTGACCAACTACTTAAGACCCTCACCTCTGGGCAGCTACTCCTCAATGCACCTAGAGGCAGAGACTAGCTCTGACACTTGTTCCACCTGTACCCCAAGCCCAGTTCAGCATCACAGTCGGACTCACTGGGCTCAACCCAGCCCACTGCTGGTCCAGAACCATCCAGAACCAGACAAGAAGCGAAGTAGTCCAAAGACATTAGACCCCAAACTGCCTGTAAAGAGCCCAAGAGCAGATCAAACGCATCCAACAGCGAAACAATCCGGGACTGGTCTGCGAGAGACCGCTCTCAAACCTTTTCTCACCATGGAACCTTTACAGAACCCCTGTCCTGAGCTGGTGTCTTCACCGTCTCCTGTCTTGAGAGAGGAACTTATAGCCCCAAAGCCAGGAACCCAAGAACAGTCTGTCCACGCTAATCACAGTTGCTCTCCAGCCATAACCTCAGTGACCTCTCTGACCTCTGACACCTCCCTCAAACCTTCACAAAGATTCTGGGGCCCATCAGAGGTTCCTCACACTGATGAGAAACTCAGCACCACTTCTGCACTCTTTGGATCAAGAAAGCTAGCTGGTATGAGCTCATTAAAGGGCCCATATCAAGTTTTGTAAAACTAAGTTGCAAAAACAACTCATTTGGACTGTGCTGTTTTTTGTGATGTCACAAAAATCAATGCATTACCATTAAATCTACAGCAGTTTAGCTTTGCCCATTCAAGCTGAAGTTGTTAGTAGTGTTTCTGCTCAGACTATTTTTTTTAATCAGGCCCAATACAGAGCAACCAATAAGAATGGGGCTCATTTACGTATAAGAGTCTTAAAGGCACCAAAAAAACAGGCTGTTTCATTCTACAGGGTAAAGAGAGGGTGGTCAAGTAAAAATGACTGACAAATGTTTTTGGTTCGTAAAACCTCACAGATGTTGTTAAGTGGACCTCAGGAAAAATAAAATGCAAAAAAATGCAGGATATTAATGGGCCCTTTAAATTTCAGCATGGTTTCAGATGTCTGAATACTAATGCTACTTTCTGGACGCTGTCTGTGTTTGTGCTCCTGTAGGTTTCTTGGTCAAAGAGCCACACCAGCGTAATAACTCAGTTTATCTGACTGACAGACCACCTGAGGAGTTCTGTCTGTCACCAGATGCCTCCAGTGAATTCCTGTCTGTCGATCTAAAGAGAGGTGAGAGGAAACCATTACTTTGTTTTTTCTTTTAGCACAGTTAATACAGATGTATGCAAATGTTTGAGCACTCCTGGTGATCTCATATGTTGTTGTTGATATGAATGATATATCATGTCATATATTGGTATATTATACTGTCTGACATTTGATGAAAACTAGATATCTCCTAGGAGCCTATGTCTCCATTAGTGTTGATATGCATGGCACCTTTAATAGCACTTTAAAGGGTAATTCCTCAGAAGTTTCTGCTTAATTACATGGTTACAGGGACAACAAAGTCATTCAGAGTGGATTGGTGTAAAATGCTCAGTACTAGAGACGCTTACTGAGTTTAATTCCTCTAAAAGCTCCAAAATAAAAAGTTACTACATGAAACGTTAAAGGTTATGAATATGCTGCCTGATATTGGTTTATGACAGTTTTGAGAAGGTTTTGGCTTAAAACATATTTTTTAATCCATTCATGGCTTGGATTAGGAATACTTGGAGTGTGCTGTAAAATAAAATAGTCCCCAAAGAAAATGTATTTTTTCAGTTTGTCACTATTTTGCCATCATCAGTATTACATATAACAACTCAAAAGATGCATGTAGGTTCACTGGTGGTTTTGGATAGTAAATAAAATGGCTATATTTGTGTTGTATTCATGATGCTCCCTGGTTCCTATCACCACCACTGTAAAGAAATCTAAGTCTCTACAATAAACCACTGCACACCAAACCACTTTGTTTACATCTCAATGATTTATTTAAACAGAAATCATGATAAATCTGTGAAATTCCTTTTTAACTACAAATAAAACATTCCAACCTTTTCTGATTGTTTGCTATTTATTGTAGGTGTGCTCGTTTAATTGCATCTGACGCTCTGCATTTGATAGTCATCATTGTTTTCCAGTGTCATGTTGTATGCAGGACTGAACTCACTATTGAGGGCTCCTTAATAGGCTTTCAGGCTTTCATGGAGAAGTGAAGTGCAGTATTTTATGCCGGCTCCGCACAATGAGAGACAGACTCAAATTTCTCTGCAGCCTCTGCTTCCCTGTAGGGGCTTGCTTTGAATTGTGACCTACTTTTGACTCTCCTTGCCTTGGATTGGCTAATGCACCATGTATGAGTGAGCATGTGTGCATAGGCCTATATGAGAGTGTGTGCCACTGTGGGCATATAAATGCAAGCCTATTTCTAGAAGGTTTCCATTTTTAGAAGATTTCTCATGCTTTGATTTGATGATTTATTAAAATGTTGATGCATGTGCAAATACGAGACCTAACATCTCGCATGCAATATAATAAATGCACATAATTAATGTTTTTTGGCAAACAAGACTGCCACACTTGTCACAGATGGAAAGGGGTGGGTACAAGTCATAATTCTCTGTTGTTCTGTGTTTTGCTTTTTTGAGGCATGCTGAAAAGCGTCAGCTTAGCGGTGGATTTGATCACAGCCCATTTCGGCTCCGGCAGAGACTCGGAGGAGAAGGTAGTATCAGGAAACAAACAAGAGGCAAAAGATGTGATTTATATAACAGGGCAAAATAGGGCAAAAACATCTCCCTCAGGTTCAACATGAAACATGTTACAGCAATACAAAACATATCCCATGAGATCCAATTAGAGCAGTACTAGCAATAGAAAATAACATGATTTGAGCTTCTTACTATTCCAGCTGAGCAGTTTAAGATGCTAATGGTTGTTTAGTAGGACTTTGCTAACTGTGCCGCAATCTGATCTCAGATCAGACTGGGAAAAAGCTCACTGTGTCCCAGCATCAGCCAGCTGGTCCTGAGTCAACTTTGCCCTGCTATCCGGAACGTTCTGCAGGATGGGCTGAAAGCCTTCAAGCTGGACTTGATTGTTGGACAGCGCCGAAATAAGCCATGGAGTGTGGTGGAGGCTTCAATACGGCCAGGTTTGTGAAAGCCAGTGATGCAAATGCAACAAGATGCATCCATTCAGTGAGCCAGAAGCTAGTTAAGGCATGAATAGATGTTTTTTTTTTTTCTGACACTGACATCTTGAGTGATATGCAGAATGTCCAATTTGCTGACACATTCTCTCACTACAATACCCAGCATGCATTACACAAATACATCATACAACCATTGGCAATCCCTGTGGTGTCAACCAGTCCTAGCTGCTAGCATAGCCACTGAGCTACAGGCCATTAGTGTAACTCCATGTTGTATAAAATCATAAAGAAAACTTTTTGCAGAATAAAATGGACCCCAGTGAGAGTTCTTTTTATCCTTTTAGATAGAAGCCTAAAGAAGCCATACTGGTGTAAGATATCTAGATAGCCAGATAGCTACCTTGCTAACTTTAGAATTTTAGCTTGTCATCCTCCTCATCTGACGAGTCGTTTCTGTTGTTTGAGTAATTCATTTTCTGCGCTGTTCTGATGACTGGAAGACAGTTACAACAGTTATATGCCTGAAATATGACACAGTTGTGTGGAAAGGTTTAGGCACTCTTAGTCAAATTCCATGGTTTGTTGATTTTCTAAGTGAACACATCCTCTACAGAGAACACACTTCTGGACATTTTAATGCTCAATTGCTGTTTATTTCCTGAATTTAAAATAAATGTGACCTGCACAAAAGTATTTAGTGCTTTTTTTTGGATATGTTGAACTGAGCTATTTTTTATGTGTGCTAGAAATTTACAGACAAATGCCTATTTAATGTTCATATGTTCCTTATAGAGTATGTCCCTGCTAGAAAAACCAGCATAGACAAGCATGGCTGGTCACCTGCAAAACCAGCATATCGCTGTTGTCGGAAGAAAACCTTGTATCTCCAAAATGATAAAAAAACCTACTTTACTTTTAATGTAAGTCAATGGAACCAGATTATTTCCAAGTAATTTTGGGCCATTTCCTGTGGTCCATTCTTCATTAAATTTACACAGAATGTAAAGGACAACAGGCATTTTGAAATTATGTCAAAAACTGAAAAACGGCAAAAATGGAAATACAAGGTTTTCTTCCGACAGCAGCCATATGTTGGTCAACCAGCATGACCATGCAGGGTGTCTCACCCTAGACACTAGTGTGGTATCACTGTAGGATACGAGTAGGCATATTTGCAACAACGATGGTTAAATTTTAAAATTTGACCAGCTTGTCCTTTTTGTAGCACACTGTCATTATATAGAAAACCAGCGATGCAATAAATGATGGTAAATATTAGTCCTATTAGTCATGAATGCAGCAGCTGGTCTTCATACCCATTATGCACAAGGGGCTTGTGGGTATTGTGGTTTTATGTATGCCTCACTCTTTTTTCAGGCCCATCTACTCGCATTCTGCATAGCCTGGTCTCAGTCGTTAGGAAGTGCTCACAGTTGACCAACCACAGTATGAGGGTTAATGCTTTCCTCCTGGGTCTACTGAAGTAAGTCCCTTACTCGACAAATGGGTTACATTTTTAATACTATCAAAGAAAAAGGGGGAATCAGGAAGTGTATTATGTACTAACGCTAATACTGTTTCTTAGCTTGCGTGCTTTGGAATCTTGGTTGGGTCACTTGCACGCCTGTACAGGTAAGCGTTGGTGTTTCAGAATAATAGTTGGCTGGTGGCTTTTACATAATGCCTGTCCCCATTACTCATACAGCACTGTGTAAAAGTCAGAGACCATCCTTCATTTATTTGATTTCCAGTCAAAAGAGCTGTGAAGTACAAATTATCCATGTTTTATCGTCAGGGAAAAAAGCAGAAAACATATGCAGAAATTGCACAGAAGCTCCATCAACTAAATGTAATGTCACAGTTTTCAGTATTAACCCCTTGAAATCCCAGGGTTCTCATATACTAAGGCTTATTTATCAGTAACTTCAGAGACGTCAATGCAAACTGGCTAAGCTATTCTTAGGTTATAGAAGTGTGCAATAAAACTTTGGGCTGACCAGTGGGCCCTGGCCATCTAAGGGGTTAAGTGTGTCCACTCTTCACCTTTATTAGAGCTTCCAAAGTTTTCAGGGAAACTTTCAAAGTTTAGACTTGGTTGAAGTTGGTTGAACTTTCTGCTTCACATGATCCAATTCCAGTTACAACTTTAGCCTCATCAGTTCATTTGTAGTCTCCTTTTCTTAGTGAGGCTTCTTGACAGCTACACATCCTTTCAGACCCAGAGACCTGAGTTGTCTTCTCACAGTAGAAGGATGGACAGAAACACCTGTGGTTGTTTTCAGATCTGAAGCAGCTTGATTTTCTCCTCTCTCTCACAGATGAAAGCTTTAAGTGCTGTTTATCTGATGGGGGCAGTTTTGGTGTCTACCAGGTGGTTGTTAGGAGCCCCATTTTCTTTGTAGCTGTTTTGAATTCCAGTTTTGTAAACTCAATTTTTTTTCTTACTTTCCTTTGACTTTCTTCTTCCTAGTGCAAGTGGATTACTTTACACCTAATCTCCTCAGAAATATCTGCTGAGAAATCAACAACTTGCACTTAATGGCTGTTTTGACTGGAAATTAAACAAATGAGTGGTGGTCTCTGACATTTGTACAGCACTGTAACTCAACCAGACTTGCTTAAATGGATAACTGAGAATGAAAGCTAGCAGTTAGCATAGTGTTAAATGGTGGCTGCTTGCTTGTATTCATTATTACAATTAGCATTCTTGATTCTCTGTGTCTCTCTCTCACTCTCTCTCATTCCCTCTAACTTTGCTCTTGTATCTCTCTTCCTCCCTCTTTTTCTTCCTCTCTCCCTTTATCTCCCTCTCCTTCCTTCTTTCTCAGATGTGGTGGCAGAGTACTACCACGACTGGGCATTCCTGGCTCTGTCTCAGGGCCCAGCATATAAGTCATTATTCCAGGAGCTTCTCCTCCTTCTTCAGCCACTGAACCAGTTGCCCTTTGACCTCCACCTCCTTTCTGAGCCGAAGCTGCAGAGGAGACTTGCTGAGAAGTCCTCAAGACCTCTTCCCCTGTCAGACTGCCCAATCCTTCATAAACCCTCCAACCAGAAGAATAATGGACATCCAGAGAGGCCTAAACTGAAGGAGGAAGGAGAACTGCACCCTCTGACTCAGAATCAAAGCTGTACATCTTGTGGAACCCACATTGCTGAGAACCTTAAAGGCTGTGCAGTTAAGTTCTGCAAACAGCCCAAGCCTTTCTCTCCAGAGGAGAGGGATGAACAGAAGTCTCTTGTTTCTTCAGAAAGGGACAGTGCTGGATGGTGGCTCGGTCAGACACCTGTCACTGAGGGCGTGATGTTAGGGGTTTGCTCTAACGGTGCTCCACATGAACGACACGAAAAGATATTGGAAGAAAATAGTGAAAGAGCGACGGAGGTGTTATTGCAAACATCTCAACAGGAGAATCCCCAAAAAGAGCTGCGCTGGGCTTGCTTATTCGGCTCTGGGATTGGCACGTCTGCAGGGGCTGTAAGGGCACAACAAAACAACAACCAAACCCAGAGAACCAGGTAAGTACCTTGAGCATACTGGGTCTATTGTAGTCTCAGCTTTAGGCACACTGCCCAGAGGTATGTTTGATGTATATTGTATCCTTTTTTTGGGGGGGAGGGGGGTTACTGAGCATTTCTCAACAACTCAATCACTGCCAATTCCTACATGGCAGGTAGGTGTAGGGCTCCCACCGATCCGGGATTTCCCTGGATTGTCCAGATTTTTAGTTTTTCGAATTAATCCATTCCTGGACACAAAACATCCAGGGATCCAAATGTTGTGAGACCCTCGAAATTACCCCCAATTTACGGACGACTGTTTCAGAAAGGTGCACTGCTGGTCACATGTTAAGGCACAAGGCAGTACTGCAGTAACTGAGAAGATTAGGTTCTGTAGCTGAACTGAAATTTATCTACCTTAGCTTTGTGAGCTAATAGAATTTAGAAAAAAAAAATTATCGAATGTCCAAAAATTTTACAGGGCTGAGATGGAAACCCTAGCTAGGCCTCCCCCTATCACTCAATGCTACCAAGTTGGGAGGGTGAAGACTTTGTCTGAGTCACATGAAGCACCCCTGGATCTTTTATAAAACCTTAAATTGCACATCTTTAAGTCAATCAAATGACAAATTTGAAGAGTTTACCTTGTTTTCTCTGAATGACCTGATGTCCATATCTCTTAGGGCAACAGACAACTAGTTTCACAAACCAAAGCACCCCAACATGACGAAATGTCGCTGGGTCAAAAACAATTATGAAATTCATGGCATTCCATCTTTAAAAGTTATACAAGACAGCCAGTGTATACCACTTTGTTTCACAGGGGTATGTTTTTGTTGTAGCAACATGTTTTCCTCCCCTTAGGCTACCTTCCCAATGGCTTAAGCTTGGAGCATCAAAGGTGGATCTGCTGGCACAGTCAGTTTGGGGTAGGGATGCGAGCAGAACCGTGCGTGGACCACAACCCAAACAGAGGCAGTGAGTACAAAGATTATAGCACAAGAGCAAGATGGACAGAAGAAGCACAAGTGCCACACTGACGTGGCATGAAGATATAAAAAGAAGCACAATCAACCTGCAGCAGCAACTGCACTGATAAAATGGCATTTTAACACTATTTTCTTTGGCAAATTGAAGAACCTAAATCAATCTTACAACCTTCAAGAAAAAACCACTAGACATTTCTGTCAGTATTTGAACATGATTGTTAAACAGTAACTGACTTTAGCATCATGGCTAACACCCAATAAATATTATTTGCTGGTAGAACAAAGTATTAAATTTTTGACGCAACGTAGAATAAATGTTCAGTTTCTTAAAAATGTCCAGTGAGATTTTGTCCAGAAAAAGAGTGCACTAGTGGAAATTGCTTTATGTTATATCATATAGATATATAATTGTAAGCATACCATTAGCCAACACACAAGCTGAGTTAATAGCATCTCCCCCTAGTGGGTAAAACCTTAAATTGCACATCTTTAAGTCAATCAAATGACAAATTTGAAGAGTTTATTTTATTCTCCCTGCATTACCTGATCTCCATGTCTCTCAGGGCAACAGATGACTAGTTTCATAAACCTGTTTACTCATGACAAATCCAGTCTAGGCATTCCTCCATAATGCCATTCACCATCAAGGTTCAGTGACCTCCAGAATCACTGGCATCTTTGGTACTTGAAAGAAATAAAGGATATAAAATGTCTTTTGTTTATTTTGCACTGAAAATATGAGAATCGCTTTTGAGAAAATTAATCTTTAAGCCCATATTTAAAACACACTCTCCAGAACTCATTTATCAAGGGTGCCAACAATTCTGGTGGGCATTATATATTATGTCATTGTACAAGGTAAAAGCTTATGGTTTGGTTACTTTTCAGTTCAAGGTAGCCCTTTTGGGCAGCTCCCAGCTGAAAAACACAAAGTGACTTATGTCTGAAGAACATTAAACTGGACCATTTGCCCTAATATTGACCACCGTTCACTCAGTGAGTTCCAACCATCTCAGCGTTCCCCAGCATGAGGATTAACATAAGGGTTAATGCATGGCAATGAACTGCTACAGAGATATTTTCCTGTGAATCATTTCATATGTAGTCAGTTTCTATGAACATTATGAACATTTTTTGTAAACATGCATGCCAAGTAAAATGTATAGGTGTTGCAGGTTCAGCATTTGGAGATAGTTTAGTTTTCCTATGAATGAATATGTACTATGCAGAAAGGTGAGGCCTGATCCCAGGCCAATGATACACAGAAAGAGCAGTGCTCAGCTGAGAGGTCAGTCCAAATCTGAGGCATTGCAGAGTACATTAATTTTATAATTTAATAATTTAATAGCAGTGTGTAGCACTATCGGAGCTGGATTAGTTTTCCTGGAGGAGGTGTGTAATGTAATGTACAGGATTGGTTTGGGATAAAGTATCTGTGTATGAAAGGTCATAGCATAGATGTTTACATTAATGTTATGCCATAAGACACTTTTGGAACAATAACAACACCCCACATGGCCATGTGGATTTGAGCAAGACTACTAATACTGAGGAAGCTCTGAATTCAGCCAATTACAGAAGACAGTTCACTCCACAGTTATTACTGTCAGACTGTAAACACTACATACACTTCAAATTCACACTGGATTAAAATCACTCCACAATTATTACTGCCAGACTGTAAAAACTACACAATGCAGATTCATGCTGGATTAAAATCACTCCACAATTATTACTGTCAGACTGTAAAAACTAAACACGCTGCAGATTCATACTGGATTAAAATCGCTCCACAGCTATAACTGTCAGACCATAAAAACTACACACACTGCAGATTCATACTGGATTAAAATCACTTCACAATTATTACTGTCTGACTGTAAAAACTACACACACTACAGATTCATACTGGATTAAAATCACTTCACAATTATTACTGTAAGACTGTAGAAACTAAACACTGTACATTCATACTGGATTAAAATGGCTCCACAGTTATTACTGTCAGACTGTAAGAACTACACACACTGTAGATTCATACTGGATTATAATCACAATTATTACTATCATTTTTGTGCAATAAATACAAAATGTTGCAGATTCGTACTGGATTAAAATCTCTAATCTCAAATATTAAAACATCCCAAAGTAAAGGGTAAACGTAATCCAGCTCCTACAGTGCTTATGTTAGATGAGTGATTTTGTGAGTGCCTCCCTTCTTTCCTCAGTGAGTGGTGTTAAAACATTGCTTGATGAGATTCCTGTGATAATAAAGATTTGTTGAATCATACCTACAGTTTGGACTTTTTTATGGAAATAATCTACTATGAAAATTTATAGTAAACATTATAAGGACAAAAGACACTTAATTTACCATTTTTATACATATTTTACAATCCTTCATTTGGCATATCAGATCTATTAAATCTCTCAGTGTCCTGAAATTCTATACACAGTAATATCTTCACCACTGAACACACTCCCTGTCCAAACCAAAACATTTCATTAACTTCAACACCAAAGCAGCTTCGTTCATGTTGCATTTTAGCCCGATTCCTTTAATTGCAATTAGATGTTTAACTTTTTAGCTGGTGGGGTCCAACTAAAAGTCCCAAGATCCATCACTTGCTCTTTAAATCTCTGCGGGCACCACTGTGTGCCAGGGCATTGTTGGTCAGCTGCCCAAACGTCTCGCCATACCGAAATTTGTAACCTGTTGGAATAAGAAAATATCAGCCAACCTTTTGCAAGTCTGCTTTTGGTGTACATTGTACATTTGCTAAAAGTGAAAACAACACTTTCAACAACACCAGAGACCACAAATGATAGGTTTGTTAGTTCATACTGACAAAATGTACACTAATGTTTATCTATATACATGTAACCCTCTAAACTGCAGGCATTAAGTTATTAAGTTATTAATGTTACCCAAAAACTTCTATGAATTTGTTGTCATGTTCAAAATCAAAAGTCCTATTTGTCTTGTAATATATTTTTTTTTCCATTTATAATGATTTTACATCATATTGCCACTGCCATAATCTAAATGTGGTATGTCAGCTGTAATTACACATCCAAATCCCCAAAACGTATTAGTAAGTATTTATTTAGGTTGAATAAAACTAGTTAATTTACTTGTTACCACATGAAATGATTTTTTAGGTTGAAATGTAGATATGAAGTTGTGTTATGAATGGTATGTAGGTTATAAGTATATACTGAAGTCTTGATCTGCTCACAGTTCTCTGGAGATTAAAGGGTTAAAAAAGCAAAATAAAGTGCTTCGGTACCTGGAACATGGCCTGTATAAGAGGGCAGTAGGCCGTGGTGAGTTGGGTAGATGGTGGATGCTGAGGGCAGATTGTTGCCCCCCTCCCTCACACTGTGACCCACCTTCATCTCCTTACTGAATTGGATCAGAGCCTTGTTGGTGGTGATGGGATAGCTAGTTCCGATCAGGAATCGAGCTTTAGGGACATAACCGGTAAACCCTGTAGCACAAAAAAGCACAAACACATCCTCTACAGAGAACACACTTCTGCACATTTCAACATAATGCAATTTCTCATAATCTGCATCAAAAAGGCAGGGAAAACACTAAACTGTGCAGTGGGGAGCTCCCTCTGGGACCGAGAGCTATAAACAGTGTTAATTGCAGGCTGTGATGTCATTATGCCTGATATGGCTTGCCTGAAATGAAGTACTTGTATGGACTGCTGTCATCCATGAAATAAGGGGATCCACGTGGCTTCCAAGGGTCCACAGGTTTGTAAGGAGCAGCTTCCTTAGAGATGGCTTTTAAAGGGGTGATGAGGCTCCGCGGCTAAAGAAGAAAACAACCTAAGTAGTGTAGCCCCTTGACGCAGGCTCACCAGAAGCATCTGCACTTTAAGAGACTGTCTTTAACTTAATTTACTTAACAAATGTAAAAGTTATGCACCTGAATAGCAGCATACATTTTTTTATTTTACCAGACCTATAAAAATGTTAATAAAAAAAAAATCCATGAATTCACATTTTGAACTGTATATACACAGAAAAGCTCAAATATCCATTTTAAAAAATGCAAATACACATTTTACAGGCCTTTTAACTGCTTATAGTTTGCACAAACATGATCAAAAATTAATATCTGGCAATATCAATAAACAATAATGTTTTTGTGAACACCTCAGCATTCCAGCAGTTAAATAATAAAAATAAATAAATAAATATTTTTAATGTTGACACCTGTTTAACTCTCAGTTAACAATGCCGTGCTGTGAAGCTTAACATTAATCTTGCAGTAACTTGCTGTGTTATTACAGAAAATATAGGAAGATGGGATGTTTCTACAATAAAATGGTAAATACAGGCTTTTACTGTCAAAAGTGTTAAATTAGTGTTCATATAAAAAAAATGTAAAAATAATTTAAAACATATAAAACATATTAACTAAGTCTATATAGCACTGAGAACCCAATTTAAACCTCATGCTTTGTGTTGATTTTATAAGGGGAAAAAAATAAATACGGCATTTTACTAAATTTTGTACGTACAATTTCAATTTACTTGCTTAAGTAAGTAAGAATTTAACATATTGAAACAAAAACATGTTAAATATGCCATAACTTTTACATGCCATTAGGTTTTTTTTTTACAATATGTTAAATTCAGCAAATAAACAGTAATTGTGTGTTAAAATGTGCAGAGTGTTCTTTGTAGTGGATGTGTTAACTTATTTACACTTAAACAAAACATATCATTTGTTTAGGGGCAAATATCATTTTAACCCCTTACTGAGCCCAGCGGGCCCAAATTACACACTTCTACAACCTAAGAAAAGCTCCATTAATTTGCATTGAAGTCCCTGTAGTTACTGAATAATAGGCCTTACTATGTAATAAGCCTGGGATTTTAAGGGGTTAAAGGTCAAATGAACCGCTTACATTTGTTGAGTATGTGCTTGAATTGTGTCCCATTCAGAACAGAGGCCGAGCTGAGCTGCTAGTGGATGCAGTGAAGAGTGTTAGTGGTGGAGCGCAGACTGAAGGTTGATGTAATTATGTGGAGGATTCAGACGAGCCTAATTATGGTCTCGGTATTACAGCTTGGCAAAATGGGGCCTCATCCTCCCAAAAGCCTGAGTATAGGTGGAGTTTCGCTTCACTGATGTTTTCACATCACAGATTTTTTTTAGCAAACTTTAGATGGTGAAACTTACCACGCTGCTTATCTCAGCCCACCAAAGCTCAGCTCTATGCAAGTTTTGGTGAAACTTTATTTTAAGTGGGCCTTTTAGATGAAACAAACACTCAACAGACTCTCAGTAACATTTCAAAACATATGAGGGTTAGGATTTGGTTTTGGGTTGGAGTTAAGGTTAGGGTTGGGATTAGGGCAGGGTTAGGGTTAGATTTTGGGTAATGGAAATATCATATTAACAATATATCTACTTAATGTAAGTAGTGTATCAACAGTACGTTTACAAGATATTTACCTCAATGTATTCAGATTCTTCACTAATGCTACTTCACTGATTGGGAGTTTTTCACACCTCGTCATACGTCTTTACATATTAACATCAGATACACAGACTCAAAAAGAAGGTCTGGCTCAATGTTTAGGTCTCAAATGCAAAATCAACATCATACTCATAAAGATATATTGACAATAGTAGATAATTCACTCATATCCTCAGAAGACGCATCCTTCACCAAGTTTTGTCTGAGTCCTCTTTGAATTCTCTTTGAACGCGTTCGCAATCATCAGATTGATCCACTCGTGGGGTTCCGAAGTACAACTGATGATACAAAATGTTTCTCTGAATGTTGCGTGCAATTACACATTTCCACCAGAGCAATGTGTAATATATAGAGATTCGTTAAATATAGAGATAAAGTAGAGTTAAAAATGCTGTTTTCCTTTAACAGTAAGTAACAGCAATGTTGCCCTGTCAGTGCAGTTCAGTCTGCTCTGCACAATGAGCCTGCAATTGCAGTAAATCTGTAGTAGCTCCAGATTGTAAAAGCAGCGCTTCATCCTGTTTAATGAGAGCGCACCACATGACCTGCTCTGATACTCAATCTCTCCTGCATTCATAATTAAACGCCTCAGGTGCTGTGGCAGGCCAAGAAGAGGTGACACAGGTTACATAAAGCTGCTGTCTGTGTCCTGACTTTGGAGTAAAACCAGAGAAAAACAGTTCTAACCTACAGAACTGGAATATAGTCCCAACTTTATACAGTGCTTTTAATAAATATTTCTTTTATTAACACTGAAAGAGTAAAAACCTTTATTTTTAGTTACTGAGTTTAGGGTTGGGCTTAGAACATGCATATTACATTTAGATACCTACATACTGTGAAATGCTCATATGCATGAAATTCATATAATATTTATGATTATGTCATGGTCTGTTTAAATACAAGACTTTACTAGAGATAATAATAAGCTAAATACATACAAAATTATCATTTATGTCTCAAATCCTAACCCTGTTAAAATAAGACTTTTTTTGTTTTGCTTTTTTTCAATGTTTTTTTGTAAAGATCTTTTTGTAAAGTTGAAAGATTTAGATTTATCATGAATTAAATCTTTAAATTAAAAAAAATGTAAAAAAAAGTGTGTCCTAAGTTTTCATGTCACTACCGAAATGCAAAGGGTTTTAGTCCATAGGCGGAGCCTTATTTTAGCCGCGCCCTTGCATTTTAGAGCAGGAAGTGAGGCTGCATCCTTGTCCCTCATGGCCACATGGTGAGCAGTTAGATAATACTGTTTTGAAGAAAATGTGTCCCAAAGTCTGAAAATCAGTGTGGAGCATTAAGGACTGTCACTATGAAATAAATCATCAAAAAAATATGATGATTTAATGTGTACAACTGTTGAATGTAGTGTTCGCTAGTCATGTACTTGCTAACATTCTGCTCAAAACAAGCTTAAATTTGTTGCTACTGAAACAGTCATTCATCACTCATCATTTATAATGTGTATACACACACACACACACACACACACACATATATATATATATATATATATATATATATATACATAACACACAGTATATATATATATATGATGATGAGTGATGTTGAATGGAACAAGTCAAGAACCAAACCTGTGTTCTTCTTTATGTATTCCCAAACCAACATATTAATAACTTCACTGAAAACAACACATTCCATTGTTTTTCTGAATTCATGTTTATTTGTATTTATTCTAATATTATGTAGTGTTTTATTGGCAAAAACACATCTGATATAAATAGTTTTAAACAATTTTCTTGCCTTTTTTGAAACACATTACTATTTACATAAATATACTTACATATAATGTATATAATGCAAATGTGACATATGTAAACACCTTTGTGTGTGTGTGTGTGTGTGTGTGTGTGTGTGTCTTACTTTGAAGTCTGACATTGTGTAACTGACCGCAGGAAGCAGATCAGCTGACATTAGCTGGATCTTCCTTTTCTGATCCGACTCAAACTCACTGAGAGCCTCTCGACACGTCTCTGCGTACGTCTTTGAGAAGAAGTTCTGACTTTTAGGAACAAAACCTGTAGGGTACAACACACACACACACACACACACACACACACACACACACACACACACACACACACAAGCACATAAATACACAGTATTTAGTTTGAGCAAAAACGACAAACAAATATGATTCAACTGTCCAAAATCAAACACGTTCATGTGGCAAGAAGAGTGTGGGTGGTGGACAATCCAAAAACATCAATCAATCAATGAATCAATAAAGAAATAAATCACCCTAGCTCAAATATTTGTAATCACTGCTTCTAATACTGTAAAATACAGAGCCCCGCTGGTGACATCCTGTATAAATAAAAATAACGCATAACCACAAGTTAGTAAGGCGTGGCCACGACTTATTAAGTCTTAGTAGTCTTATTCCCACGCCTTAATAAGTCATGGCCAGGACTTAATTATCTTATTCCCACGCCTTAATAATTTGGGCTCTGTAGTAAAAACAATTTTGTTGCAAATAATGTTATAAAATGATTCTATTATGATGCTGGCACTAATTACAGTTGAATGTAAAGTTTGAACACCCCAGTCAAATTCCTTGTTTTGTTAATTTTTTAAGTGGCAATATGTTTTGCTAAATGTTAAATGTTAAATTCAGCAAATAAACAGTAATTGTGCAGTAAATTGTGCAGTAGTGTGTTCTCTGTAGAGGATGTATAACTTATTTACACTTAGAAAACCAGCAATCATAATTTGATCATGGGTGCCCAAACTTTTGCATACAACTGTAGTAGTCAGCTGTAAAGTGTTTGATGTGTCCAGAATGATAAGCAGAGCTGTAGATGATTACAAAAATGCCGATGAAAGCTGTATAGAGTGTGATGAGAATGATATTCATAGTACAATTACTGTCCATGATGCCTTGTATTTGTAAAATGGAGATAAAATCTTGAGGCTACAGAGCCCTGCTGCTGTATAAATAAAAATAATGCGTGGATACAACTTAGTAAGACGTGGGAACAAGATAATTAAGTTGTAGCCATGACTTAGTAAAGCGTGGGAATGAGATATTAATGCATGGCCACAACTTAGTAAGGTGTAGCCTTAACAACAGCTTAATAAGGCATGATCTTCCTACACCTAACAAAGTCATAGATATGACTTAATTATCTTGTTCCCATGCCTTACTAAGTCTTGGCCATGCATTAGGATCTCGTTCCTATGCGTTAATAAGGTGTGGCCACGCATTATTTTCATTTGTACAGGATGTCACCAGCAGGGCTCCGTATGAGGCAGGGAACTTTACTACAAATATAAAATAATGATAAATAGGTAATCACAATAAATTCTTATTAGTTAATGAAATAAAAGTAGCAGTAATCTTTTTTAATATCAGCAACAGTGGTGTGATTCCATATAAAGAGGTAAAAAGTATTTGTAAATGTTTAACCTGTGTATCCTGGTATCATTCTGTCCAGCTGTCTGCCCGATCCTGTCCGTCTCCTACAGGTATCGTCTTCCGTGTCCCTCTGTGTGGAGGGGAAACGTCCCGAGTGCAGAACCAGCCTCTGAGAGCGGGAAATCTCTGGAGAGGTCAGGAGCTGTGCCGTCAGCTGACCGTATGTCTCTCCCATGTGATATTTCAGCTGTGGACAGTAACCCGCATACCTGCACAGTTCATACAAATATGTGTTTATTATAAATAGATAGATAGATAGATAGATAGATAGATAGATAGATAGATAGATAGATAGATAGATAGATAGATTTAAATTAAACATGATATAAAGTCATTTTTCTTCTGCTTTGATCATATCAGCTGTATGGAGTGAGCCTATGCACACTTATTGTTCACAATCAAAAAAAGTTATTGTTAAAGACTCAATGCTTTCTGTCCCATAACAAGTAAATAAATGGGATTTTGTCTCAGTGTTAATCTCTACAGAACAGAGCATCAAGACGTGTTCAGGTTAAAACCTGCTTTATTTTCATCGGGAGATCTGTGTATAAACTCAAGAGAAACATCGCTGTAGATTTACAGTGTTTCAACTTTTTCACACTTTCTATGTTCTGCTCCTTGCTGGTCGTGGTCATTAGCTGCTCCATAGCAAAGGGAAAACATGAAATCTGATCCTCATTAAGCAGACTGCAGACTGCAGGAGGCACAGAATAGGACAATATCTCAGTAAATACCTTCACTCTCTCTGATTCACACTGTAGTGTTGTTGAAATGAGCCTAATGCACTCATAAGATGTTTAATGCATTATCATAATATATTTTTCCAAACGATGAAGCCCAAACACACCTAGTTCGAATGAATATAGTGTAGTAATAGAAAAGCAGAAAGGTAAACCTGGTCGTTCCTCACTTCATCTCACACTTACCCTGGGATATAATGTGGCTCAGGCGTCACTAACGTCCTGCTGAATTTAGGAGGGAATTTCTCCATGAGGACTCGGAGCGCACGAGGGAGTGTGTGTGTGTGTGTGTTTTAGCTCACTCAGACACAATGTGTGTGTGTGTGAGAGTGTTTCAGAGAGTGTTTTGAAGCGGTTGCTAGTCAGCGCGCCAAGGTGTGTGACGTAAGAGTGGCGCTCAGTTCGGCTCGGCCCCTTTAGAAAAGCGGCTCCGTTATTCTGTCACGAATTGCGTCATAAACAATGCACTAATACCTTGTTCTGTAAATTCGAATCTGATACAATAAATGGATTTCAAATATATGACATTTATAAGCATATTTGTGTTTCCCTTATATCCAAGTTTTGTCACATACAGATGCATATGACACATATATGATAGGGGGACCATTTTAAAATATGGGCCATATATTTCCGTCATACATCAACAACAGACAGACAGACAGATAGATGTGATGAAACACAGTAGTAAACATGCCCCTGTCCCAACTTTTTTGGAATATGTCGTTGGCATCAAATTCAAAATGGGCAAATATTTTTCGAAAAACATGTGATATGTTGTCTTTTTGGGGTTGTAGATAGATAGATAGATAGATAGATAGATAGATAGATAGATAGATAGAAAGACAGACAGACAGAAAGACAGACTGATTGATTGATTTATTGATTGATTGTTTGATTGATAAAAAGACAGCCAAAAAGAAACACAAACAGACAGATAGACAGTAAATGATGAAAATTAATATAACTAGCATAACTAAATCCTACAAACATGCACATTGTAAGCTATGCAATAAAACATTTTCTTATTTAAAATTACATTATTAATAGAAAAAGTAAGAAAATATGGAAGAAATACTCATGTACTCGCATAGTCTAATATAAATATTTTTATGCCATGTTATTTACGTGTATGTTATGACAGACATCGTCTATACACAGAGCAAAAGAAAAATCCTTAAAATTACTGTGACAACAATGAGGAGATTTTGAAAAGCATCAAAGATTCTGTTTACAGTGTGGAAACGCTATTGTACTCATTTTGAAAGGCATTTGGTTTTTAAGACTGATATGTAGCGGCCTCTGGCGGCCAGTAGCAGTACTACCTGAGTGGGTCATTTGTTTATAATGCACAGACGTAGCGTTTGCAATTTGGGGGCCTTAAGCTATATCAGCATGTCTTATCCAGCATGTTAAAAGGAGACATTTTATTATACACCCAAGATGTTTTTGTGCCTCTTTGAGCCTCAGTGGCTCAAACCCACCCCACCCTCTGCTGAACTGCTGAAATTGTTCTTCTCTGCTATCAGTGTCTGAAATTTGGAGGTAAGCAGGTGGAATTTGTGGTATTTGAACACGTGCAAGAACTCAAATCCAGATTCAGCTGAGTGGAAGGTGTAATCTGTGTGGTTTGTCACGCATTGTATGTGTTTGGACTGGATTAGTGGAAGCAGACATAACAGTGTTAGTCAGACAGAGACTCACGCAGACAGAGCCAAACACCAGCATTCTTTACTGAGAGAGCTGTGAATGTGAATGAGGCCAAAACAGTGTTTGCTGTATGTCCATATCCATACGCTGTCATAAAGCAAGGGTACTGCACAGGTTTATCCCCCCACAAAGTAAATGTACTAACAGAGGTAAAACATGGTCCTTAAATGGCCAGTAGCCTACATTTGTCTTGTATTTTTAAGTGAAGTTTTATGTACTAAAAACAACTATTTTCACCGGTAACACTGTCACCATGGCCGCATGTTTTTGTTACAGTACTTCTGAGACTGAAATATATATCGCTGTTGTCGGAACAAAACCTTTCCATTTTTGTTTCCAGTTTTTCAGTTTTTGCTATAATTTGAAAATGCTTGTTGCCTTTTACACTGTATGTAAAATTTCAAAGTGATGAATGAACCAAAAGAAATGACCCAAAGTTACTTGGAAAAAATTCTGGTTCCATTGACTTAGAAAGTAACGTATGTATTTTCCTTCACCTGTAAAGTTACCATTTGGGAGCCACAGGTAAGAACAGAATCTACACACACTCAAGAGCTCAAAAGTGCGACCAGTTCTTTGGTTTAAGAACACATCATGAATCTGACAGACTTTTTCTTAGGTCCTTTCTTAGAACACATTTAAGAAGAAACGTAGGAAGATATTGGTGAATGAGGCCCACTGAATTCAAAATGGGCTGTATTTGCTGCTTATCTTTCATATATGAAACTATGTGGATTGAGGAGTTCATGTTGTAGAAACCTTAATGTTTATGTACTACATCAAACTCTTTAATTTCAAAGAAGAAAGAAAAACTGCAATACGGGCCCTTTAAAGTCCGGTTGTGTTTTACAGTGCACCTTTAAGTGGTTGCTTCTGGGCTTCTGTTTTTTTTTGTTTTGAAAAGTACTGTTCATCATTTCATTTCATCATTTAAGTAAAGCAACAGTACTTTTCCTGCAGTATGTGTTCAGGCTACTCTGTATGGCTCTGTTAAGTGTAAGAGAAAAAACAGATTTTAAAAAGCTGGTTAGCTAACAATGAACTGCTTTTAAAAGTGCAGTGTGTAAGGTTTAGGAGGATCTATGAGCAGAAATTCAATATAGTATACAAAACCATGTTCATATTGGTATATAATCACCTGTAACAATGAATTATTGTTTTTCATTAGCTTAGAATGAGTCTTTTATTTCTACCTTATCCAACAGAGGCCACCATGTTGTGCTGTCATGTTTCTATAGTAGCCCAGGACAGACAAACCAAACACTGACTCTAGAGAGCACCTTTTGTGTTTTTACTTTGAAGCAGCAGCTTGAATTTGGCGGTGCTATAGTACAGGTTGGAAGATGTAAAAAGAAGAAGAATCAGTGTCTGCTGCCAGTGCTGGCTAAGCATTTCGTGTTGTGAGAAGGTTGAGAACCCACATTTTGACAAATGGAGAATCATACTTTTTATTTAGCAAGAGAGCAAGAGATGGTGAATCTTCATCATCTAAGAAGCAAAAACATGAAGAAGCAAAACAAAATCAGGGACAGGCGACAGCAGAAAACCTGACGGGCTGCCATAGACTCTACTACACGCTTGGAAAGGGAGGGGTGAGGGAGGGGGTTAGGAGCCAGGTGGTTGCAATCTGCAACCTCACCACTAGATGCCACTAAATCTTACATACTGCACCTTTAAGTAAATACTTACAGTAAAACTCCATCAAATTTTTTAACACGTCTGCATAATTCAAAGGTTAAGATGTAAAGAACATCATTCAGAGTGGTTTGGTGTGAAATGCTCCATAATAGAGAAACTTACCAAGTCAGAATTGTTCACAGAGGTGATGATAGGAACCAGACGTCCACCTCTAAAAGCGCCCTCACAGAAAATTATAACATGAAGTAATGTATTCTTTGTATATACATTCATGCTGGAGGATGCAGATTGTTGTAGGTCAAAATAGTGCCCCAGAAAACTTTTTTTTTTCAGATTTATCAATATTTTACCATCAACACCCCATATAAAACTCAGAAGACACACATAGGTTTACTGGCGGTTCTGGATAATAAATAAAATATTTGTGTTGTGTATAGACATGGTGACCCCCGGTTTCCATCATCCCCACTCTGAACCTCTACAATGAACCACTGCAGAAATATTGAAAAATTGGTGGAATTCCCTGTTAAGTATAGGAAAAAAGGTTCTGTCTTGTACCAAAAAAAGGTTCTAATGCTATCAGCATAGGAAATTGACGTGTGTTAGACTGTGTTCTTCTCTTTTTTTTCTGGTGTAAAATGCTAAAGTTCCAGAGTTAGAGGGGTGGTCATAGTGAAGCAGAACAGGAGCTGAACCAACACAACAGAATGAAATTAAGCCAAAAAAGAGAATTAGGAGCTAAATGTTAATGACTAAAATGGATCTGATGAAATATTGCTTCACTCACTAAGTGGAAGAAAAAACAATCATTTGAAAATACTCTGAAAAGTACAAATCAAAATTTTACTTAAGTACACAGTTCTAGGAGAGCGTGCATCATTGCTTCAGTTCAGTTACACAGACAAGAATGCAGACCTTATCAGACAAGAATGCTTTATTACGCAGGACATGCTTTGAGCTCTGTACATATTTGACAGTTGTGCAATGAAAGGGACTTTTTTGAAACTCCCAACCTGATGTTCATGGACCCCCAGATGGGTCACATTGCATTCTGTTTCAGCTCCCAGCACAGCTGTACCAGGGTTTTACTGTTTTTATCATTTGTTTCAGATCTGCTGGTAGCACAGGGGAGGTATGTGGGTCATTTTCGTTTGGAGTGGGTATTCAGGTGGATACATTTTTAAAAGATCTATTTCTTTCCTCCCAAAACTAAACAATCTTAATATGTCCATTAACATCTTCTGTTATCATATGTGCATAAAGAAGAGCTTAATTCCAAACACATTTTACAGTCACTGGTGTTATATGAATATAGTGTAACACCAGTGACATTCTAGTTAAAATTGAGGATTTCGTAAATTGGCTGACTCATTGCCAGTCAGGTGACCTTGTACAACTATTTAAAATCAGTAATAAAAGTGATATATGGCAGTATTTTTGACAAAATTTTAATTACCCAGCCATTAAAACACATAACACTGGTGACACCTAGAGGTTTTGTGCTGCCTGATAAACAAAATCATTAATAAATGAATGAAATATAGTGAGACGTGTGGTCTCACTTTCTCATGCCTTGAAATGCTTCCTCTCTGATGAGTCTTGATCCAAAAAAGCAGTAAAATAGAGCTGAAAATACTGTGTTAAAATGTAACATAAGAGTCCTGATAACACCAGTGACCAAAATCTCTGTGACAATTTTTTTTTTAATGAAATACATATTTTAACGTTAATGATATGAAAAGTAAACATGAAGTTAAATCTCTCAAAAATATTGTTTTATTTTAAAAATTGTTTCTTAAATTGTTGAAAATGGGTTTTGCGATGAACTGTTTTACATATGCAGAGTGATTATGAAACAGGATATAAAAGAAAAATTTGAGAAAACAAAAGGGAAACGTGTTATTTAATCTTTAGTCAACTGTGTAAATGTACATACCAACTCTTGGAGCTGCGTCTAATATTTTAAACATCTTTTTAAGCCCTGCAACCTTTGACATGGTTTCCCCCTCCAAATAGAGAATAACCCATGTACTGTATAGAAGCCTTTAAGGTCTGTTTTTGGGAATTGTGACTTAGTGTTCCTTATGTCATCAGTGGTAGTAAAGAGGAAGTGATGAGTCGTAGTTTGAGGTATGACAGGTGACGTGTCAGAGTAAATAGGTAGATTGATATCACAGGTACATAACATACATACCATTAGAAGTTTGGAAACACCTAAGCTTTCCAACAAAGCATGACCTTTTTTGTCACTTTGACATAACTGACCATATTAAAGCTTAAGCATGTTTATTTTGAGGAAACCAATGTCACACATATAAATATTAGTGAGAATATTTGTGCTACTTTGGGAAATAAAGCCAAAGGCCCTGCATTTTTATCTCTTCACTTACTAACTTGGAAAATAAAGGTTGCTAAATTGTTCTTGGCTTGAAAGTATGGCCTTTAATTGGTATATAATCTTTATATTGTTTGAAAGTTCTAAGCTCATTTTTAGCTCTAAAAATGTTCTTTACAGTCACACTTCTCATTTACAAAAAAAGAACCATTAAAGGAACTATTTGTTAAAAAAGACCAAAAAGACCAAAAAAATTGGTTCTCCCACAGTTCTTCAGCTAAAGCAATGGAGATATATATAGACAACTCAACAACCCATTTGAATACTTACACCTCTTCAACTCTTCAAAATTATTTTTATAAAATAATACAAAGAGCGTCTAAGATTTTTGGCTTTCAGCAGTAAATTGTAAGCATATAGCAAGTTATATGATCATAAAACACATGTTCTTCTCATTTGAAGGGAGCTTTTACAAAAAATAAATAAATAAATAAATAAATAAAATAAAAATGTACGTTTATTTCATGCAGTTACTGAATAATTTGCCTTACAGTTTGGTCGTGTAAATTCAGATGGACAAACCAAAATATAACCTGGAGAAAAAGTGGTTCTTTGCATTCGTAAATAATTAAATAAAATGATGGAGAACTGTCCTTAAAGATCCTTTTAAAAATAATTCTATATGTGCTGTACACTTAAAAAGGCGGCTCTCTTTAAGGGTTCTTTAGTAAAGAAATTGGTTCTATAGAGAACCATGATCATTCAAAGAACCATTTGCATGCTTAAATGGTTCTTTGCATGGTGAAATGGTTCTTCAGATTGCTGTTGTATATGATTTTATATAGAACCATTTTGAAACTGGTTCTGAACTACCAAAAAGGGTTCTTCTATTGTTACACAGGCTTGACATTGTAAACCTAGAAGAACCCTTTTGGTGCTATATAGAATCCTTTTCAAAAAGGTTCTATATAGGACCATCTACAGCACATTCTCCATCAATCTACATGCAAAATAAGCATGCAGAAGGTTCTTTGAGTGATCTGTATAGAACCATTTTCTTTACTAAAGAACCCTTAAAGAACCATCTTTTTTAGTATGAAACCATTTTTAAAAGTATTCTTTAAAGAACCATCTGCAACTGGTTTTCAGTCATAGAGAAGAACCATTTGACCATGCAAAGTTCTTTGAGTATTCATGGTTCTATATAGAATGCTGTCTTTACTAAAGAACATTTGAAGAACCATTGTTTAAGATTGTACCAGAAAAAAGTATTTGCTCAATGCCAATGTCAGAAAGTACTTTTGGTTCCCTAAAGAACCATGAAATGGATTTTTTTTTTTTTCATTTTTGTACATGAGCTGTGTAAGTGTGAGGAACCTTTGTAAAGTTTAAAGAACTCTGCATGATGTAAAATTTTTACAGCAGCAAAAAACCTTTATATTATGTCAAAGTTCTTCAAACGTACCTCTTTTTTAAACATAGTTCTTCAGAGAACTGAAGATGGTTCTACTGTTGTATTGCTCACTGGTAGAGTGTATTGTTACAAGCCTTAGAACCTTTTTTTGGTACAAGATAGAACCTTTTTTGCTAAGCGTGCAGGTCAGGAAGTTCCTACAAGGCCTTCTTTATGAGTTTCGGTACATGTTGCTTTCTGCATAGTTGCAGTTTCGGCGTGTCTTCATTCGGAGAATTCCGAGAGCTGGTGTGTTTGGACGTGTTGGGACAGATCAGGCAGTTGAGAGAGAAGGATGTAAGGAAGATCGGGAAAACTTGTGGCTTCGCAGAGCTTGAGTCCGCGCCGAGCCGTGGGAAAGAGAGGAATGTGGGCGGAGTTTTGGCGGATGCTTCAAATTCTGTGACAAGTTGTAGACTCACTTCCTGGTCGCTGCAGTCACTCATCACCTGTCAGGTAGGAGAGGAGTCGTGTGGAGGAATTTGGAGAAGAAACACAGGGGCTGTTGTGGTTCCTTGAACAAGAACAGCATTTAGAGACAGAAAACCATGGACTGATGAATCTGTACAGGAATTTCGGGTGTATGCTGGAGAGCTGGGTGGCTGATGGATTCCCAGAAGCCTCCTGTTACTCAGAAGAACCTTTGGAGAAGCAGCAGGACGCCAACAGCAGCGACTCTGCTTCTGCAGATTCAGTCAGACTCCCAGGAACCACTCTAAGGTCTGAATCTGAAGACTCTGGAGTGGATTTGTCCAATGTGGGCAGCCCTAAGGCCTCCAGGTCAAGTGTATTGACCTTTGTAGACTCCCTCACATTCAAACCAGCTGCTATATGTGAAATTGAAGAAAATATAAAACCTTCATGTTCTTCACCAGATCCATCCCTGCGCTCCTCATCATCCTCATGTTTCTCTGAGGCTCAGAATTTGTCCACAGCAGCAGACGGACCCTCAGTGGATCAGGCTGTAGGAAGAAATGAGCCAGACTGGACGCAGGCTACAGGGAGAGAATCCCCTTTCCTAGAGGAAGGCCTGGATGTTGGACCTCCCAGATGCTGCAACACAACCTCGCTGATCAGAGGCCTTGATGCAGCTCCATCCAGACTGCCCCACAGGACTCAAAGTATGGGGTCAGGAAGGCCTCACGGACAGTGTGCTGACCAGCACAGACAAGCACAAACTGTACAGCAGCTTGACCTCAATGACGGAGACCTAGCAGAGGTATGGTTCTGTTTAACCTCTATTTAACAGCATCATTTTTGTGTTATGACTATTTTAACATTCTAGAAAAACTAACCAAGTCAGAATACTTTTGTAAAGGTTTTGGCCTAAAATGCGTTTTTTAATCCATTCATGTTGGAGAGGTACATGCAGGCAAAATAGTTTCCAAAGAAATGTGACTTTTTCATATTTCCTATCATTTTGTCATCATCAACATTACATACAAAAACTCAGAAGACTCGTGTAGATTCACTGGTGGTTTTGGATAGTAAATAAAATGGCTAAATTTGTGTTGTAGACATGGTGACCCCTGGTTCCTATCACCACCACTGTAAAGAAATCTTAAAGCTTTAAAAGGTTCATCACAGAAATCTTTAAGGAACCAAAAGTGAGTTTGACAGAATTCAAATTTGGTCTCATTTTTGTGTCCTTCAGTGTTCTCTAACTACAGTACCCAGCATATCACTGTTGTCGGAACAAAACCTTGTATCTCCAAAATGATAACTTTACAGGAAAAGGAAAAAACATACTTTACTTTTAATGTAAGTCAATGGAAACAGACTTTTTTCTAAGTAATTTTGGGCCATTTTTATGGTCTGTTTATCATGAAATTTACACACTATGTAAAGAGCAACATACATTTTTAGATGATGTCAGAAACTGAAAAACAACAAAAATAAAGATACGAGGATTTTGTTCCGACGGCTGTGATATATTGCACAAATACATCATATAACTATTGTGAACTTTCCCCACATCAATAAAGAAATCCACTGATGTACAAACTTGATATTCAGCTTCTTAGCAGTAACATTAGCTCTCTGGCTTCCTGCTGCAATAGCCAGCTTCCTCAAGAACTGACCCTGAAGCAGCTTTTCACCAGTTCCTTCCACCTTCAAGATACATCATCAGAAGGTGGTGTTTCTGTTCTTTAAACTGTCAAATCTCACTCTCAAGAGTACTATGGCACCACTGTAGGAGGCGAGTGGGCACATTAACAGCAGATGTAGTGACAGTTACATTTTCATTTTAGTCGGAATTTCCCTTTAAGTGCTTCCTGAGGAGATGGGTGTGCTCAGGTCCTGGGAAGGTGGGAAGTTCGTTCCACCACCTGAGCTTTAACACAGGGAACAGTTTCGATGCTTGTCTTCGGTTAACACTGCTTAGCTATGCTGGCCTCTGTTCATACTGGAGACAAAGTACATTTCATACTGATAATACTCACTGATACATTGATATCAGCAAAAAAAGAGTATGAAACAAGGAAAGATAAAGACAAACTGATTTGAATTGAATTATCTGATAACTTATTCATTACCCGCAAAGTTGGAAGTTATTAATTATTCATAATAACACTGATAATACTGCACAGCTACACAGGTGTGGAAGGAAACACATAAAGAAATGTATTACATATGGACATGTTTTCAATTCATGTTTTCTGGCTGAGCTCCAAACACAATAAACATTAATCTGTCATGTGATATCTGCTTCAACCGTTATGTTCTTTGATATATAAAGAACACAAAAGAGTAATATACACCACTATTTAATGCATACCTACATATCAAACCAATATATCAGCGTCAGTTTTTATATCCCTGCCATTCATATAAAATATTCATTATAGTTTTGGCTGAGTAAGTTATGTTCCTGCCATAAAGGAGAAATGTTAACTGCTGCTTATCTGAGTGGGAGGGTTTTGGATATTTTTATATACACAGTTCAGAAGGAGGCTGTGTATCTGATGTTGGCACTGAGCGGTGTACGTGAACAGGACGTGAAGATACCATGGATAACTCTGCATGCACTCTGCAATTCATTCACATGACATTTAAAGACCAACAGATGACCAGCAATCCTCCAGTTTCATAACCATTTTACTGCAAAGCTCTGATAATGAGCTCTTTACCCCTCACATACTTGACTGAGGCAATAAACACACACACTTAGGTTTGTTTTTATACCTTATTGGGACACGCAGTCATATGCAAAAGTCTGAGACCACTCTTCACTTATTTAATTCCCAGTCCGAACAGCCATTCAGAGCATGAGGCTTTCAATCAGAAATTTGCATGGGATATTTTTCCACCCTTCCAAAGTTCAGTCTTAAAAGTTGATTGAATTTTCTACTTCCAATCCAAAAAAGCCCAAACACATTCAGTGATGTTGAGGTCTGGACTCTGGGGTGGTCAGTCCATTGTTCAGCTTCTTTGTTTGATGTGTCTGTCTCTTTTCTCAGTGAGGCTTCTTGACAGCTACACATCCTTTCAGACCCATAACGCTGAGTTGTCTTCTCACAGTGGAAGGATGGACAAAAACACTTGTGGATTTTTTCAGATCTGAAGCAGCTTGATTTTCTCCTCTCTCTCACAGATGAAAGCTTTAAGTGCTGTTTATCTGATAGGGACAGTGTTGGTGTCTACCAGGTCCTATTTTCTCTGTAGCTTTTAATCACTTTTTGAGCTCCAGTTTTAAAACTCCTGGTTTTTTTTTACTTATTTTCCTTTGACTTTCTCCTTCTTAATGCAAATATATTTTATCTAATCTCCTTAGAAATATCTATGAATGTCTGTAAATGATAGAATTTCCTGCTTTGTGAAAAATGGTTCCTCAGTTCAGCCTAAAAAAGTCAATTAAAAAAATTACTGAACTGACAAACCATTTTTTTATGATTTAACCTCTTAAATGGCCAGAGTCCACCGATGGGCCAATGTTTTATTACGCACTTCTATAACCAAAGAATAACTCAGCCAGTTTACATTGAAGTCCCTGTAGTTACTGAATAATAAGTCTTAGTATATAATAAGCCTAGGATTTTAACAGGTTTAGCCTAGACCTAACCCTTATCTTAACTTCAGGAACCAAAAAAAGATGAATTTGCACTTTCAATTTTAGAAAAGAAACATGAAACATGAAAAAGAAAACAAACGTAATTTTCAATATCAGGATCATTGTGTTGCAGGTTGGCCCGGTTTTCTCTGGTTTTGTTGTAAAGAAACGACACGTTTTGTCCTGAAAATGCACAAAAACAAACAAAGCTCACACGCACAGGTGCATTCTCGCATGTCTCCAGTCACTACGCGCCTCCTCATTAGTCACTCAGTCTGCTTTGGGCTTTGTTTGCGTGTGCACTGCTCTTTCCTCTCGTCTCTGAACCAGTCCGTTCAGGTGAGTGGAGCAGTGTAAAGTGGATTGTGAGGAATGCAGGGGTAGGGGTGTGTGTGTGTAGGTGTGTGTGTGTGTGTGTGTGTGTGTGTGTCTGTGTGGTTAGAGATAGCAGCATGTGGAGGACGTGTCTGAACACCAGCATTTTAAAGAGAAACATTTCCACAGTTATTATTTTTTCCATGCTGTGATTTTGTGCATCCTTGGCAAGAGATGGCAGACACCTGTAGGTGTGTATGATCCACTGTTACTGACAGCAAAGTGCCTCCAAATTATTGTCGTGTGCAGCAGGACGTTGTGCTAAATACTGTGTTTTAATTCCTTTTTTATTTGAATTGTTTGAAGAGAGATGACAAGACACAGCTGTCTTGGTCAGATGAGCTGAGCATTAGTCAATCAGATTGTTGATTTGAGGCCTGACACTGCTTGTGTCACACCCACAGTTGAGCTACATACAGCACATCCAATGGGAGATTATTAGAATGATTAAAAAAATGGATTGGGAGTGGGAGGTAAAGTTGGTTGAAAGGGGAATCCCACTGATTTTTTTAATTCCTGCATAATTCAGTTGCTAAAATATTTACTTAACCCAAGTCTAAGTAGTTTGATGTGAAATGCTCCATTCTCAAGAAACTTGCAGATTTCTTTACAGTGGTGATGATAGGAACCAGGGATCATAATGCCTACAACACAAATATAGCATATATATATATAGCCAACTAGTTTTTATATGTGATGTTGGTGTTCCAGTAGTAACAGATATGTTTTATTTGGGAACAGTTTTGCATTCATGTATTGATTTTAAAGAAAACGTACATTTTAGGCCAAAAGCTTGTCAAAACTATTATAAAAGAGTGTCTCAGACATTAGCATTAGACAGTGTATTCTTAACCATTTTATGTAGTAACTGAGGTAATATGTAGTAATATTTTACAAGTGTTGAACTCTTCAGACGTCTGGTTCCTATCACCACCACTTTGAACAACTTTGACTTGATAAATGTCTCTGGAATAACACATTTCATATCAAACCACTCTGAAATGTCTTGGTTTACATCTTAATCATTTAACAAATGAAGACATTTTGAAAAATTAGGTGGAATTTTTACATTTGTAAAACAATATCAGGCCACTTCAGAGCACAGAGCTAGTCTTTGGTATACTCAAAAATATTTAAGAATGTTGTTTTGGTGCTATTTTTATCTTTAATGTTTCAGTAGTTAAACAAGCCTGAAATCTGGGGTTGCTGCTGCCCCATCTGCAGCCCTAATACCCACAGTAATGCCAGCTGTTCACCATTAAAAATCTAATTTAGTCCAGGTATAGACTGAATCTGGCTCTGGTAAACTAGCCGTATGTGTCTAAGTTTATAGGCATGTAGAATTGAGTGTAATAGTACGTGTATGTGTTCACTGATTTCACATGAATAAAATATATTACATCAACCGTAACTAAGTTAACTAAACTGGAAGACAGTAACTGTGTTGATGTAGTCTATTTTATTCATGTGGAAATGATGTAGCTTTAAATCAGGTGATTTTAAGGCAGTGAATCAAATTAAATTTTAAACTGTATGTGTTATCAGGCTGCGTGCCACACGGAGCCTGGCTGGGACGGTCTCTCTCCTGGCCTGCTGTATCTGGAGCAGATGTGCCGGATGCTGGAGAAAATCGCTCGGTTACAGCAGCAGAACCAAAGCCTTCAGCTGGAGGTGAACAGCATCCGTGGCCAGAGGAAGGTGAGAATGTTCTTGTGTATTAAACTGCTTTGCATCAGCACTGTTATGTATTTTGTTGTACTGCTAAATAACTTCTAATAGTCTTGGTCACTTTTACTGTGAAAAAGGGAAAAGCTTGTGTCACGTGTGTAGATCCAGCATTTCTTTTGGTATTAATAGTGAGTTTGTCCTCTGTTTGCTGCAGTAACAGCCTCTGCTCTTCTGGGAAGGCTTTACACTAGAGATTTGATTGAGCATTATTGAGGTCAGGTACTGATGTTGGATGGTCTGTTCTGGATCACTCCAACTCATCCCAAAGGTGTTAGATGGAGCCTTATCAGTCCAGAGAACAGAGTGCCACTGCTCCACAGCCTAATGCTGGGGGGCTTTATACCCCTCTGTCCTCTACAGTTTCTGACAAAGTAACTTTCACCTGAAATGTTGTGGCTAGCGTAAGCTTCTATTGACCATTCAAATACAGTTAGGAATAGATTTCAATTTTGTGTCAACACTGGTCCTGTGATGCACTTGATGCACCGAAACAGAAGAATAGATAGATGGGACCTTCAAAACAGGACCCAAGTACCTATTTAATTCCATCGTTTACTTGAATATGGAAAGAATGATAGTACAGTTCTTACTTGACTTGATTAGCGTTTTTATACATGCAGAGCTCCCCACGGCCCAAAAGGATAAGCGGCTTGAAAAATGTGTGTGTGTGTGTGTGATTTTACTGAGGGGGCTCCTGAGCATCTAAGTGCTGGTCCCATCATCAGGAGACTGTGATTTAATCCTCGATGATGCCACAGCCATCTGTAACCAGGAGACCAAGACAGCATAACTGTTCTCGCTCCCTCTGGGTGGGTAGGGTGGTCCTCTCTCTCCCTCCATCACTCAGCGCAATGCTAAACAGTGCAGGTTATTTGTAGCTGACATAACTGGCAGTTGCCATATTTCTCCAAGTGTGTTGAGCTTCTATAGTGTTTTGTTTTTTAAATTGTGGTGTGTCTTGAAGGAAGCTCATACTAGCCTTCACCATCCCAGCTTGGTAGCATCATGTGATAAATGGAGACTTAGCTAGCGGGTGGTAATTGGCCATGACTTAATTAAATTGGTTTGAAGTAGCATCATAATTAGATGCTTAATACTCATTTACATAGTTGAATTTTAGTTCATCAGCACTGACGAACCACTGACGTCTCCAGTGCCTTGACAATTAAATTGAATCTACGTTAAATTTTACATAATGTCAAATATTTTATATTGACACAATATTTGCCAATAGTGACAAAAATTAATAAAATAAAATAAGATTTTATCAATATGTAACCAGGCAGCTGCACCTGTTTACTGTTATGAATTATTTTATCTTATTTTTAATCTAAAGCTCACTGGCCGCTGCTGCCCAGGAGATATCAGGTTACTTTTTCAGTTCCTTCTTCCTCTTATCCTCTCAGGGGTACGTTTATTATCACTGTTGACTATCATTAGGAATGTGTGAAGCTGCTTGAAAGTGTCCATTGTCAAAAGTGTTATTTACATAAATAAAACTGAACTATAATGTAGCTAAAAAACCTAATAGGATGACTGTTATACGTAGCAGACAAGGCATGTTTTTCTCCCAAAAAAGTTACTAGCATAAAGTATTTGACAGCTAAGTTCTTAGGTCAGTATTTGTTCAAATGCAGCTTTGATTTATCCAGTATTGTTGTTAATATTGTTCCTTCAACATTTGTGTCAACAAAGGCTTTTGATTTGTTTAGTGTTTTTGTTAATAAGGCATTGATTTGTTTAGTCTGTTTGTTTAAACTTTGATTTGTTTAGAGTTTTTGTTTAAGCTTTGATTTGTTTAGTGTTTTTTTTCAGGCTTTGGCTTGTTTAGTGTTTCTGTTTAGGCTTTGATTAGTGTTTTTGTTTAGGTTTTGATTTGTTTAGTGTTTTTGTTTAGGTCTTGATTTGTTTAGTGTTTTTGTTACTAAGCCTTTGATTTGTTTAGTCTTTTTGTTTAGGCTTTGATTAGTAGTTTTGTCTAGGCTTTGTTTTGTTTAGTGGTTTTATTTAGGCTTTGATTTGTTTAGTGCTTTTGTTATTAAGCCTTTGATTTGTTTAGTGTTTTTTTACTAAGCCTCTGATTTGTTTAGTGTTTTTGTTACTAAACCTTTGATTTGTTCAGGTTGTGTATTAACCTAACGTTTTGTTTTATGCAATAATTGTGTTAACAATGCAATCATTCAAGAAGCATTTGTGTTAATCAAAGTTTTGATTTGTTCAGAATTTGTCTTCACAGAGATTTTAATGTGTTCGCTAACAGTGTTAATGGGGCATTCCACCTATTTTTTTAGAATGTCTGTATGAGTCAGTTATTGAGATCAGTCATTCAGAGTGGTTTGACTGAAATGGTATATTTACAAAGTGGTGATTTGAGCCATGTCCATGACACAAAAGGCATCACCTTGTTTACTGTCCAAAGCTACATGTGTCTTTTGTAGTGTCAGTGTCAGTAATAGTGGCAAATCTGAAAACGCTTATTTTCTTCAGGGATTTTTTTATACTTACTGCATGTATCTTTCCATTTCAGGCTAAAACCATCTCAATATTCCTGTAAAATAATATCACGGGCACCAGGCATTGTATTAATAAACCTTTCATGTAATACCTGTATGTGAGGGAGCTTTTATAGACTTTGAACTCTTCTGAAGTCTGGTTCCTAACACCACGACTGTGAACGACCCTCTAGAACATTTCACACCAAACTACTACACTATGCTCTGTGTTTATGTTAATAAAATATAAATGTTTTGATGTGTTCAGAAGTTGTGTTAACCTAAATGTTTTGGTGGCCTAATAAGGTTTTGATGTGTTAATGGAGGTTTTAATGTGGGCAGCACTTCTGTTATTGTAAATGCTTCAGTGTATTTACGTTAATAAGGCTTTAATTTGAGTAGCATTCGTTAACTTACATTACTTATGCTTTCTGCAGACTGCCAGTTCACAGAATTGTGAAATCAGCTTCATGGCTAATGAAAGACCCAAGGTCCTGCGTTACGAGGAAAAGTCCAGCCCTTCTTCTCTACCTTACCGCCACAGGACTGCCTCTGACACATGGGCTTTTCTTAGGCCTCGAAGTGAGTCTTTATCTATCACAGCGATAACATTATATATAATTGTCTCAGTATACAAATGCCAAAAGAACATTACTTGTTCTGTAATTACAATAGAAGATATGGTTATATGACTTTACTATAATAGTAAATGCCTTCACTATCTTTAGGTCAGCATTAGTCAGCATTAGTGTAGATCCAGCAGCCATCACGTAAAGCCAGCCTGTTTTATGTAAGACTGATTATAGGGTTGTATTTTTGTCTCCTGCAGGAAAAGCTAAAACTCAAGCTGAAAAGTTCATGTCCACAGATTTTTTAGTGGAAGAGCCTGACAGCAACTTGCATATGGTAAGAAAAATGAGCTGGCGAATACAGTTTGAACTGTAGATAGAACTGAGCAAAACTGGTTTGGTGTGTGTTGATTTGCCATCATTTGCCAACATGTTGCAACATGAGATGGGATGTGAGTGTGAAATTACTATTGAAAGGTCGTTTGATCAGTACTGAAGTAATCAGCATACTTCACTTTTTATTTCACTTTAACATTGTCGTTTTCAACTTCATGGACACTTTCCAAATACATTTAGCAAATACCAAACTATCCCTCCTGAAGAAAAATCATAGAAACCATGCAAAGTGTCTGTTGGTTCCTGATGGTGTCCAAGGTGTTTTGTGTTTTCCTGATGGGTTAATATCACTGTAAATGACTCTAAAGGGTTAACAGTTGACCTGGGACTGATTCCAAATATAAATGTGTTGTATGAAGGGACCTAGTTTTTAATCTCCTCAAACAGATTTTAAATGCACAGAGTCTTTTATTTAAAAAAAAACTAAGTCAAATATTATAATCACCTTTGGGAGAAAAAAATAATGATTAGGCCTGATATAAATTGATTACATAGAAAATGTTGCTGACACTGTGCTAGATTAAAATTATTTACTAAACTAATTTACAAAGTATAACTAAACAAAGGAAGGAAGGAAAAATAAGTAAATTGGACTGACGCTGAGCAAAACACCAGTGGACCGCCAGCTTTGCTATCAGTGCGCTAACAGTGGCCTACTGTCCTCTTGCTATCAGGGTAATGGCAGGCATTAAGCCAATTCCCATTAGAAAGCAAAAACCTCAGGTTTTAATCCTAACAGTTCTAATGGTCATTTTTCAGCTGAGGTATCTTGGCTAAAAAGAAGCTCTGGGCCCTCTGGGAAAGTTACACAATCTAAATGTAATGCAGTCTCGAATGCTAAAACTGTGGCTGAATGTGCTAACCTGGTTACCGTTTATCTATTTGCTTATCCAGCCTGTGGAAACAGAGGAGAAGAAGGCGGGTAACAGCCTGAAGCGGGGGATTAGCTCACAAAGAAAGAATGAGAAGAAAGAGCACTCCAGGAACGGCAGGTGAGGCCTTGGTGCGCTGAGTTAGCGTTAGCAGATTTGCATTAGCACTGTCTGATAGCTGCATGGTGTGCCGTTTTATTGTTTGTCCAACTCACAAGGATACTTGACCGGAACAGATACCTTGATATTGTCGTATTTAAGACTCTAAATGTGTGCAAGTCTACCAGATGCAAAATTCAAATCAAAATTTATGTAAATTTAAGTTTCCCATTCAAATATGCAGTTCTCAGTTCTCTTCCATATTAATGAACTCAGTGAAGTGGAATAGCTTTAAAGTACAGATAAAGTGATTATGAAGCAATTTGTAAGCTAATTTAAGTGTACTTTGGTGTAGTTGTGATAAATGTGACCCTTCTGTCTCCCTCCAGCTTGCATGGCGAGAAGTCATTGCTAAGACTGTTCAAGAACAGAAGAAAGACCACTCAGCTCTGAGACCCTGTGACATTACCTCGACAAGACAGAAAGATGACATGAACTTCTGATGTACACTCATAAAAAAGATTCTTCAGGGGTTATTTTGTAAAGACAATAACTGTACAGTCAAATGCAACGCCTGGTCAAATGACATGTTTTGTTGATTTTCTGAGTGAAAATAAGTTAACACTCCTCTACAAGAAAGCACTTTAATATGTCATTGGTATTATTTTAAAATATCATTGTATTAATTTAAAAAAGTTATTTACTTTAATACACTGGGAAAAAAAAAATATTGTGCGATAACTTGCACAGGCCACATTATTTGTTTCAATATGTTAAATTCAGCCAACAAACAGAGTCGGGGTGCCCAATTTTTTGCATATGACCTTGACAATTCAAAACATCATTTGCATGTTTGAATCGTTATTTGTTGATTTAAATGGTTCTTCTCTATGATGGAGAACCTGCTGTACATATTTTTTAAAAGAACCTTTTACAAAATGGTTCTGTATAGCACAAAAAAGTGTTCTGCTATTGTTAGAAGTCAAACTTTGGTACTATATAGAACCCTCTTTGCTAAGAGATGGATTCCGCATTGTAAAATCAGGGGCTTGTTTTCGCAGATTACGGCTTTTTCAGCTAATGCTATAGCTAATGCTAACTCAGTGAGAATCTCCTCTTACTGTGGTAATTTAATCCATAACAAGTCTACATCTGTGTCCAGCAGCGCTGCCAGAAAAACCAGCATAGAGCAGCATGGCTGGTCACCAGCAAAACTGCAAATGTTGTGTTTTGGATGTTGGTATGACCATGCTGGGTGACCAGTTTAACCAGCACCAGACCAGCGTAAACAAGATTAGACTAGCTTTAACCAACATGGAATTCATGCCGCTTTGTGCTGTTTGTTTTTTCAGTAGTGAAAGCTTAGTGTTTTGTTGTAAAATTACACAATAGTGTACAGTTGTGGTATTACATCACAGCATTCGTATTGCATCATGCATTGTAGGGCATGGATTAGAGCCTGAGTCAGGCTGGGTAAGAGTTAGCGTTACAGACTGGCTTTAGCCAGTTTAATCTAGTCCTATATCTTGGTATTTAGCTAGAGCCTTAATAGGGAGTTCCACTGATTTTATAAAACGTCTACAATAAATAGTTAAGATATAAACAGTCATTCAGAGTGGTTTGGTGTAAAATGCTCTGTTTTAGAGAAACTTACAGAGTCAGAATTGTTCACAGTGGTAGTGTTAGGAACCAGACGTCTGAAGATTTTAATGCATCTAAAAGCTTTAAAAGTTATTACATGAAATGGTTAGAAATAAACTGCCTGATTACTGACTGAATTTATGGCCTAAAACAATTTTTTAAAGCCTTTCATAGTGGAGGGGAACATGCCTAGCAAAACAGTCCACAAAGAAAATGATTTTTTTCATATTCTATCATCATCAACACTGCATATAAAAACCATGTAGGTTCACTGGTGGTTTTGGATAGTATAAAAAATGGTTATATTTGTGTTGTAGTCATGGTGACCTCTGGTTCCCATTACCACCACTGTAAAGAAACCTGTACAATCAACCATTTCACACCAAACCACTCTGAATCACTCTGTTTACATCTTAACTATTTAATGCAGACATTTAATAAAATCAGTGGAACTCCATTTTAATAATAATAATAATAATAATAATAATAATAATAATAATGGTCTACACTGTGTATTATGTGTTAATATTGTTTATGATAGCACTTCCAATGCCTTACACTTTGTAATAGTTTATACAAGTGGAGTGAGTCTTTCATGGATTACCTTTTCTTCATACTCTCACGCAAATCTGAAATTTGTTCTTGATATGACGGCTCATTTTCCAGCTCAGGTAAAAGAACATACAGTCATATGCACAAGTTTGAACGCCCCCAGTCAAATTTCGTTTTTTTGATTCTCTAAGTGAAAATAACACATCCTCTACATATTTTCAGATATTTTACTGCATATTTTTGTGCACAACTTTAATTAACATACTAAGTTTAACATACTGGGGAGAAAATAAAATCTAAAATTTGCCATAACTTCTGTACAGCCCACATTTATATTGAGGCGCCCAAAGTTTTGCACACTACTGTATCATCGGGTCCAAAAGAATTTTGTATCTGCAAAATGGTTACTTTGTAGGAGAAAAAGAAAAAACAGTCTTATCATTTAATGGAAGTTAATGCAGCAATTATTTATTAGTAGTAATTTCTATTAGACCTTTTATTTTGAAATTTTGACTCAGCCGACAAATTATAAATATGTAGATTATATGGAGGTTAAAGGTTTTGTTCTGACAGCGAGGATATGTAACATGCTCAGAATCCAGAGTGATCTCTAGCATGATGAAATGGAATACATTGCAATTTGTTATTGATGTATTCTAAAGATGTAAACAGAATATGTAGATTGTAATGTATATTTTAATCTGTTACATATTTGTTTGGGCAAACCCTTCTGCTGCTAAGTAAGTTAATAAGGCTCTACATGATGTATTCTCTGTGGAATGTCTAAAGTGTTTCATGCTAAGCTTCTCAGCACATTCATTCCTTTCTCATGTTCTCAAAATAGTCACTGTTCCTCATATTTTCAACTGCAGTATTTTCTGAACTACTTGTGTACATTGTATGTAGCTTTTGTATTTCAGTCATGCTCAGAATGAGCTATGGATGTATATAGCACTGTTTACTGTGAGTCTTTTTTGTCTGAATATAATCATATTAGCATTTTGTCTCTAAACCTTCATGTCATTTTAAGTAAACTGTGTTCTTCTCAAGTGTTTTTTTCTCTACTTTAAGTCAGCATGAATCAGTAATCATAAATCATTTTACTGTGGTGGTGGGAGGGGGAGGTGAAACATGGTATGGTTAATATTATTCTTCCCCACCTGCCGGTGCACGGTAATATAATAAAAAATTAGAACATGTTTTAAAAGCAGAGCAAAAGTCATTACATTTAAATGAAATATTACAAGAAAACAAGAATTTTATCTTCTAAATGTTATGTTAAAATTAACTGTTTTATATGATCAGGGGTATTAAGTAACACGGTGTAATATGTCCACTGTGATTTTAGTTTGACTTTTAAGGACTAGTGATCCACTGTTTCAAGATCAGACCAAGCCATTCATTTCAATTAATTTATTTGCTTTACCCAGGAGGGGGGAGACAAAGTCTCCTTGGCATTCCCATGTGAAGAGATGTCAATGACAAACACATCCAAACAAGAGAAACAGGGCTTGGGGAAGGGGTCAATCAGTTCGTACATAAAATACATTTACTCTGATATTTCATTTTTCTTGGCTCCGCGCACAAGTGTCTCTTTCACTTAAAAGTCCAGACAGCAACCGTCTGTGCTATTAGATCTATAGATACATCTGTTGTGGGTGAGACAGAGGACTTGTGAGTAGCGTGGTCACGGCAAGTAGGGGTTGAGTTTTGGCATTTTGGCTCAAACAGCACCACTTGATGGACTGTTTTGGATCAAGATGATGCTCCAACAGGAAGGATAGCTTTGGAGAAGCAGGGTCGCGAAGTGGTTTTGGCTCAAACAGTGCCAACTGAGGGCCTGTTTCACATCTGATGGCCTGTTTTGGTCCAGCAGTTTGCATTGTCTAGCAGTTTACAATGTCCTATGTTATGCTGCAAGTGAAAGGATGTTGGGAGAGAAGGGGAGCTTTGGAAAAAACAGGGTCATGGGAAGGGTCTTGGTTTTGGCTCGAACAGTGCCACCTGGTGGGCTGTTTTTGGATCTACAGGAAGAAAGCTTTGGAAAAGCAGAGTGACAGGGGTGGTTTAGTTCTGTGGTTTGGCTCAAACAGTACCACTCAATGGCCCGTTTCAGATCTACATGATGCCGCAGGATGAGAGCGGGTTGGCAATGTGGCAGGTGCATGCCGACTGGCAGTACTGGCGCACTGTCTGGTAGCAGCTGCGGTCGGCGTCTCCGCCCCACTGCACTGTCCCTCCGGGATCAGACGGCAGCCGGCTCAGGATGCTGGTGTTGATGGCCAGCGCGGCCAGGCCGTAGTCGGTGAAGAGGACGGTCTCACGGCGGCACGTGGGGCAAGAGATGAACTTATACTTGGGGCAAGACTCGTACAGGATCTGCAGGCACTCCTCGCACACCGAGTGCAGGCAGGAAAGGATCCGGGGGCGCTTTCCTGCAAAGTTGTACATGTGTCCGCAAGTTGGGCAGTCCAGTGGTTCACATGGCATCACCGGCCCAGAGGATGTCGAGGAGGAAGAAGAAGAAGAAGTGGACGAAGAGCGAAGCACGTACTGGTTCACGATTACATCATCCATCTTGTAGTGAAACTGGTGGTAGCATATCTCGGTGGTGCTTGCCTTGCGTTGAGCTAAATAGCTAGCTTCCCGACGCAAGACGGGAGCTGGGGGGGATACCATAGGCCGTGGATTGACCACGGTGTTCCCATTGACCTCCAGGGACAAGTCGCTGCAGGCTTGGTTGACAATGACTTCCCCTTCACCTCCTCCATCCCAGGCCACCCGTGGAGGAGGCGCGAAACGAGGCTGAGTGACTGGCACTGGGCACTCCCGGGGGAACTTCTCAGATTGGATGATCTTGACGGTATCCATTGGGATGGTCACAGGCTGGCGTCGCAGACAGGACATTCGCTCTGGGAAGTGAAGGGTGGTCTTTGCAGGTGTTTGAGTGTGTGTTTGTGGTGTCAGACTCACAGCCCTTTGGACGATGTCTTCTGTATACTCAGAGGATGACACTCAGCCATTGGAGGGAACGTATGGACGGATGCTTTTGTCCATTGTTCTTCTGAAGTCTCTCACTGGTCAAGCACAGTTCTTATGCGGTCACACTAGTTCCTCAAGAAGGTAAAGCAAGTTGCAATGTGAAGTTTGTAATGCCCAAAGTCTGCAATATCCAGTAGTTTGCAATGTCCAGTAGCTTAAAATGTCCAGTAGATTCAAATATCCAGTAGTTCAGAATGTTTGGCAGGTTGCAATGTCCACTGAGTTGATGACTTACACCCTGGTTATTAATATTTCAGTTTCTCTATGAGCAAAAATAATACTCTATATCCAGTTTTACAAATGAATGGTCAAACACAGCACAGCAGGAAATACTTAACCACAAAGATATTTCTTAATATTCAAGATGATACCATAAATACCTACTTTATAGACTTAGATACAATTAGCACCTACACAGAAAATCTCTTTAAGAAGGCATTTAAAGACTAAATCACAAGCTTATTAGGTTTTGGTTCTCACAGTTCTTGTGAGGTTTCTAAAAGGAACTAGAGCAGTTTGTGCTGGGGTACCACATCCACCTCAGTGGCACAGCTGACATGACTTCCTTCCTCCTCCAAAATTGAGCTCAGAAGCTCTGAAGACCCACCCCTTCTTGGAGATGATCAGCAGTGCCTCTTTTGGGCGAATGTTCTTGACACAAAGGAAAGATCTAGAAGGTCTGACACTGCTTGGAATTCCTCAAGAGGAGTGTGTGTATGAGGAAGGGTGTGCGTCCACTCTTCAGCGATGTGACAGGTTCAGGAGTGTCCCAGGAGTATGTCCAGATTCTGTTCCAGGCTTGTTTCCCAAGCAGGCCAGATGTGGAGTCTCTTGGGTAGTTTCTTTTCCTGGTGACAAAGACAAAAGAGGCCAGGTGATGGTTATGTAATAAAATGACAAAGCAATCTTTTTTTAGGTCCTTTGCCTGCAAGCCGAGGAACCTTCTGCAATACACAGGATTGAAGTTGAGCAGGAAAAGGCCAAATAAAACCCAAATTCATGAGACTAAGATGAACAAGCAATTTGAAATGTAGCTAATGTTTGGATATGCATTGTCTTCTTTTGAAATGTTTGGTTTTCAATTTAAATTTTCAAACAAGCAGTCTAAACAATACCTAAAAAACACCTGCATAAACTCAGCTTCATGTTCATTAAAGTGAAGAGCAGGTTTTACCTAAATAATAATTTGACAGTTTTCTTTTAGAAAATATGAAATCTCTAGGTCCACCACCACCACTGAATCCCCTCCCTGTTTCTCAGTTCTCTGTCAGTTCTACCTCTGTTTATCAAAAGGGTGGGAGGGGGCAGCATTCTAGCTCAAAGCAGACGCCACCCAGAACTCCAGCCCAAGCTCTCAGAGTGTTCTCTCCTCCTACATGTTTTCTTGTATTAAAACACAGTCTCTTCTAATACTACAGCAATATGTTGAAGACATGGTCTGAACTAGCAAACTATTGTTAAAAGCACCTATTGAAGGTGAGCCCAAAACATGGTTTAAGCTCTGTGGAAGGTTTGAGAGATGTGCTGACAACAGAATGGGATGAAATTTTGGATTTAATCTGAAGGTGGTACTTTTGTCAATTGTTCCCTTGGTTTTGCAGATTATAACATCTGTTTCTGCACAATCTATCAGCCCTCTTCTAACCCATCTATCAATGGTCACCAAAGAACTGCTGTTGACCAGATATGGTTAACCACTCTTAACCCAAGAGTGCCTCTGTGGTCAAAAACTGACCATTGATAAAGTGCTAGAACAGTGGTCACTGACGCTCCATCCTGCATCTAACATGCTGCCCATCCTTGAGCTTACACTAATGCATGTGCACCAGCCAATCAGGGACTTCTAAAGAAGCTAATTAGCTGGAGCAGGTGTGGCTGACTGTGGTTGGAACTAGATTCTGCAGAAAGGTAGACCTCCAGGACCAGGGTTGGCAACCATTGGGCGAGAGAAGGGCTACACAACCTGTACATCAACAGATGGGAAACAGTATCTAACTGTATGCCAGCAGAGGAGGGGTTCTAGTAACGTGGCCATTGTAAACTGACAAAGAAAACTTGTTCAAAAGGTAGGTGTCCCCAAACATTTGACTAGCAGTGTAAGAGAGCAGTTGAAACAGCTAGCTGCTTTCAAAGCCAAAAAGCTGCTCAGACCAGCAGCCATCTGCGATCCTGCAGGGGACTGAGCACTACAGCAGGGAGAGAAACTGACCTTGCTGCAGGACAACATGTCCAAGCACTACATAATAGCTGCCTAACTCCTAATTTCATGCACTTTTTTGGTTTCTAATGGAGGCCCACAGACCAGACTGCAAAATGGATGTTAGTGTGTAGGCCTGCAGTGAGTCAGCGGCGTATGAACAGCTCACGAACAAAAGCGGTTTATTCTGTGGTGTGACATGTATGAGCCAGTCATCTGTGAGAAACTCTGAGAATGTATGTGTGCATGCCAAGGACAGGAAACAGTAGGGAGAACTGACACATTTGCAGTGGTCCTCAGAGTGAGGGGGAGGATGGAGAGAGAGAGCAGAGTGAGAGAGGTGACCTAGATGCTGCATGAGTAGAGAGAGATAGATAGAGAGTGAGAGAGCGCTCTTTTAGTCAGAGTTGCTATTTATGAGCTTTTTATCTCCCCTCCATTTCACAGCAGCCCACCACGACCAGATTCACATGCTGACAGCGCTCTGCTTTGCCCACAACCAAGCATCCCCTCCACACATGTACACACACAGAGTGGTCTTATACTGACGTCCCACCCTGACTATATTAAATGATGACTAATAATATCCCTCCATCCACCTACACTGTGGATGCTCCTTCTAATGCTTTAATACACACATGTATTAGAGCTCCGCCCATAAATGCATTCTTTCACACTTGCTGTCGTGAGGTTGGGCAAGCTTTACAGAACAATGGTAAAAATGGCATTCAATCTAATGGCGAACTGTGGCAGCACATTGTTTACGTTCATTACACAACCATCGGCTGGGCTACACTACCCAGCTGGACTGTCCGCCCATTTCAATAATGTTAATATTTATACAAATTTTCCACTTGTACTCAAGCTGAGACATGTTTGGCGTCCAAATTTTGCTTCTTCAGTTTAGAACTGGAGCAGCGATGCTAGCATTGCTAACAAACACAACAACACAATAGTCGCCCAAATCAAACTCCCCAAACCGCATCCAGGTTTTCATTAAGGTCAAGCAGATTGTCATTGTGATTTAGGTCACAGTATGACTCACTGTGAGCTATAAAAATGAACAAAACTGTGGGCAGCCACTTTAGAAAGCAGGATTTATATTCACAAACCACCTCAGGAGTCAGAGAGCTGATCTAGAGTCAATATTTGTGACAATGACTGTTGTAAATATGAAGGAATCTGATCCAAGATCAGTCCTGCTTTGTGAACGTGGCTATGTGGCTACATGGCTAACAACAACAAAAAGTAAAGCAGTTCTACACCAAAATTTTTAGCCATACAAATTATTCACAATTTTTAAAAAATGTGTTATATTCAAACTATGAAGTATTGAAACAAGGCATGTGTTGCTAGTCAAAACTATGCAGGTTGGAAACAACAGTGTTTGCCACCATGCTAACATTGTCACCAGGTGACTGAAAATTGACATCTGATGGGTTGATTTGCTTCACTTAACATAATCAACCTAATGCAGCATAATTATAATGTGAATGTAATTTATTGTAACTGACTTATTAATATTATTATAGTTTAGACTGATAGTTAAATCTACCAGTGTTGATTCATTCACGACATAGCAGTAGACACATCATGTCAGAGTTAATAAATAAATGGAATTATCATATGAATCCACTGAGAACAAAGACTAACCCCTTTACCAGCAGTTTACTCACAATAATTCCATTAATGTTCACCAGAAACACAGCTGCTGTCACAATAAAAGTCCCATATAATTCTACTGTTAAATGTAAGTTTCTTGATTTAATTGAACATGAAAAAAAAATATGCTCTACATATTTAAACTTCTACTACTATTAATATTAATAAAATGTATGTATGTATGTATGTATTATTATTATTATTATTATTATTAGCAGTGGTAGTAGTAGTTGTTGTGGTTAAGGTTTATTTTTGTGTTAAAAATCTACCTGTGTTCAAAAAGATAATACCACACTGTTTATGTAGAAGGGGAACTCCACTAAGTTTTAAAGATTTCTGCACAATTAAATGGGTAAGACGTAAAGCAAAAAGTCACTGAGGGTGTTTAATTGTTCACTGTGATTATGATAGGAACCAGACATCTGAAGAGTTTAATGTTTCTAAAAGCTCTCTCACAGAAATAGGTATGAATGCACTCCCTGATGTTTGAGGCATTGGTTTATGATAGTTTTGAGAAAGTTTGGTTAAAATGTATTACAATTCATTTATGGTGGAGAGAAACATTCAAAGTGAAAACTTCTTTTTCAGATTTATCACTACTTTACCATCATCAAAATTCCATATAAAAACTCAGAAGACACGTGTAGGTCTACAGGTGTTTTGGATAGTAAATAAAATGGCTATATTTGTGTTGTAGTCATGGTGACACCTGGTTCCTATCAACACCACTGTAAGGAAATCTGAAGCTCTACAATCAATCATTTCATTAAACCACTCTAAATTTAATTATGTAAAATTTTTGAAAAGATGGTGGAATTCCCCTTTACAGTAAAACAAAAGTTGTTGCCCTTAACAGACACACAGATGAGTTAAAAAAATGTTAACACACTACCCGATTTTACTTAAATGGTTTACTACTGTCTTGTTTGTATTGATATCTAATACCTTCTTTTAGTACTGTATTGAGGGTGCGTTTTGCATTGCACACCCTGTTCTAGCCAATCCTGGAGAAGGAGGCGTGGGTTAATGAGCTGTTTCTCACTCACATTCATTTCTGACTGCGTTGCCATGGTGCCAGGGAGCTGCAAGGCAACTCTGGAAATAACCCCAAGTGTAGGCGCACACACACATATGTGCATGGCATAAAATAAGATCTTGATAAGTGAAATCATCTTAAATGTGGGCAATACACAGTCACAAGCAAAAGTTTTGGCACTCCTCTTTTCAGTACATGTTTTGTTGATTTTCTAAATGAAAAGAAATTAATACATACTCTACTTAACATTTCAAAACATACTCAGTCCATACAGTCCACATATGAAAACTACAAAAACAGCCCATTTTGAATTCATTTTGATGTCACAGAAAACAACCTATATACATAAATTTAGCGTATAGCGGTTTAGCTCCGTCCATTCACACCGAAGCTGTAAAGAGTGTTTCAGTAGGGACTGCTTTTTGAATGAGACAAAATAGAGGACAGCCAATCAGAACAGAGCTTATTTACATAATTTACATGTCAGTCAAGGCAAAGTAACAAAAATTGTAAGGGATAAGAAGAGGTTGGAAAATGATCATGCAAAAAATTATTATGAATGTTTTTGGTACAAAAAAAAAACATTAAAAGTAAAAGTGGACCTGAAGAACAAAAAAATAAAATAGAAGAAGAATGTAGAATATGGAATTTTTAACATAGAGGGAAAAAGTGGCCTGTGTAAAGGTTATGGCACATTGTATATTGTATGTTTTGTTTTTTCCAATGTGCTAAAGAAATCATGCACAAAAAAAATGTCAGAAAAATGTCATAGTTAAGTGTGTTCTCTGTAGAGGATGTGTTAACTCATTTTCACTTTGAAAATCAACAAAACGTAATTTGACAGGCAGCACTCAAACCTTTGCCTACAACTATATCTAATATTTGTAATGAACAGGTTGTTGTAAGAATATAATAAGGTTATTTAGACTACCATACCATTGCCATACAGACAA